TGCAGTGAGCCAAGATTATGCCATTGTACTCCAGCCTGGGCAACAAGAGCAAAACGCTGTCAAAAAAAAAAAAAAATAGGCTCATCAATAGGAGACGAAGGCACCTACAAGACAAGACATGGCTTTGGAGACAAAGAATAAATTGGAAGGAAAAGAATATAACAATTCCTCAGTCCTTTCTGGAGTCCACATTCTAGTGACTTTCAGCTCCACCTCTATCGGGCCTCCTACAAGGCTTCCCGGGCAGACTGAGCACAAATTATTGACCTCCATTCAACAACTGGGGAAGGTCATGCCTCAGAGAGGTGAACTTACTTCAGCTGAAGTTACCCAGCCAGGTGGTGGCAAAGTGTGTCCGAAGAAAGTTAGAGACAGAGACATCAGATCCAAGCCCTCCCTCTTGCAGGGGATGGGGTGGGGGTGGCAATCTGCAGACTCTGAACTAAGTGTTGTAGCTCATTTCAAACTCAGAATAACCATTTGAGGTAAACGGCCATAGCCACCAAAAAAGGTAGACACATGATTTGCCCATGGTCTACCCTTCCCCTCTAACCCGACTGCTCCTGGGCAGGCTGTGCAGTTTGTACCAGCCCCACTCCAAGCATGCAATAGCCACACATCCCTATGGCCTGCTGGCTATATTGGCTTAGAGGTTAATGGCAAGGGCTCTGCAGATAGTACATGCAAAAGCTAAAGATACTCCACCTGGGATGCTGATTCACCATGTTGATTTCTGATTAACCCCAGTTCCAGCAAGGCCTCTAAGATTTTAAGTTTATCTAGTGTTCCTTATGTGAGAGCATGTCCTTACCATAAATATTCCCCCTAGGTCAAAGCAACCTTAATATTATCACACTTCAGTCGTCCTACACATCCTTTAAATAGGGAAATCCCCCTTGCCCTATGCTTGACAAGCCCCGGGCTGAGGAGGGGTAACAGCTCAGGGATCCACTATCTCACTTCACAGTCACCTAAGGCTATGGCTTCTCTGTGTAAGTCCCTAATAACTGTTTCTTTCTGCGACATTGGGCATGTCAGCTTCTTTCTTCAGTTTCTCAACCTCCTCTGACTTTGGTGGCGGAGGGGTAGGTTTACAGAGACCTACTCACAGCAGAACAGTATGTGTGGGTCAGAATCCTGGTTCTGTCACTTACCAACTGCATAACCTTAAGCAAAGTTACTTAACCTCTCTGTGTATTAGTTTCTTTATTTGAAAATGGGGCTAATAATGTTAGCTACCTCATGAGGTTGCAGAGATTAATTAATGTAAGGCAGTACCTGGTATGGATAGGATATTGAGTGAATGCTGGCTGCTACTCTTTATGCTGAAGCTTGGTCCTTTGAAATCAACTTGCCCAACACCTTGCTCCATAAATGAGGAAACTGCAGCCCAGAGTCTGGAAGGCACTAGTTTCACTAGCAAAGACTACAGCCACCCACCTCTCCTCTTGATGAACTCCCTGTCTTCTGGCTGGCCCTGAGATCGAATGTGCCAATTATTTAGGAAACTGGCAGCTGCAGGGCCCTACCTAGGTTATGCAATTTCTTCTTGACTGCAGAGCAAGGGCAACTGTTTGAAGTTGGCACTGAAGTGACGAAGGCTGGCCCTCACTTCTGCTTCCACCTAGGCTCATCGGTTGGAGTGGCTGATTCCATCTTTGAGTCCAGAACCTGAAGCGTTTACTCAGCAATAATAGGGCTGGCTTTCATTGTTAACTTTTTACAATCCTTTGAGTTTATTAACTTGTGTTCTATCATCCTTGAAGACACAATACATCAGCACTTTTTTAAAAACTTCCTTTTGAGTCATCTTTGGTCTCTGCTCACCTACCAAATGGGTAAGTAGGAGCTCTCTGTAGAGGTCTCTAACAAATAGGATAAAGAGGTTCCGAGTGCTCACTTGTCTGGGATGCAGAAGACAGGTTCTCAGACTGGAAGCAAAACTAGCTTATGATTCCTCTATAGCTTCTCTTTCCATCCCTTCCTTCCCATATTACCCAGTGCAAATCGTCTACTCTCCTCTGACAAGCCTACTCAGCATAACCCACACGTCTTGAATCTTACTAGAAGATGAAATCAGACCAGTCTTGCGGGCTCTACGTTGTTAGAACATGCTGACTTGAAGCTTTCCTTAATCTACAAGCCAAATAGTGTTTCATTTGACATTAATTTATTTGATAGGTATGTATCAAGCCACTACTATGTATTAAGCTCTGTGCTGGTGCTGGTGTCTTTTTGGATCTTATAATTTAGTGCAGAAAACAAACAAGAAATGATGATAAAGTACAACAAAGGGTTGATGTAGAAAATGTCAAATACTCTAGGAACTATAGAAAACCAAGGGACCACCGTGAAACTCCTTCCTGAAGACATGACATTAGTGGGACATGAAAAATGAGTGGGCTAGAACCAGTTAAAGGGAGACAACCTCTGTTCCAAGCAGAGGGAACAGGAGAGGTGAAACCTGGAGGTGAGGGAGAATGGCAGACTGCAAGAACTGAAAAATATCCGGACAGTGGAGGCAGAGAGAATATGGAGAGCGTGGCAAAAGATGAAGAAGCAGATGGATTTCGAGGGCATTGTCTGAAGTGCTAAGGAATTTGGACTTTAACCTGAGGGCAATCAGAGCAGCCTGTGGAGAACAATATCTTTCAAAACATAGGGTCTCTGAGAAGGAGTCAACCGAATGTATTTAAAAGGTTGTTGATGAAAAGATTGGGAAGTATTGTTTCATTCTCATTGTTTTCATTGTCATGCTCTTTGTGCCAATGGTTAGACCTCCTTTGAAGCTGACTGCAGCATGAAGGCCCTTCTTAATGGCAGGGCAGCCTCCCCCAGCCTCCCTACCGCACTGTGCAGGTCATCAGTTTTGTACGACTCAGGCTTTCACTATACCCTTAGGAATTAAGAATGAATGAAAAACGAAGAGCCACAGACACCACCACTGAGAGACTGTCAAAGACCCTTGTTTAATAGGTGGGCAATTGAGATCAGAGAAGGAAAGTGACTTTATTACTTTCCACAGCAATCCAGCGGTAGCATCTCAGGTCTCTGGCTCCTTCTCGTCTCCCCCAAAGAAACAGACCACCAAAGCTGGGACTAAGGTGAGACAAGTAAGATACACAGGGTACAAAGCATAGAGAGATGCCCACTGCCAGGTGACAGCCTGCACTTGCGTGACCCTAGGTGCCTTCCCTTCCCTCACCCTGGTGGTCTCTGCTGGAAACACATTTGAGGGCAGGGACTTTAGCTTCTAGACAGCTCTTTAGCATCTCTCATGGTGTTAACATGTTGCTAGGGTCCTATTTTGAGGGTCACTAGATGCCTACTGATGCTAATGAACAATGGATTTCTGACAAACTGATGCGTACACAGATGTTTGTCTTTGGGTAAATACGAACCTCAGAAGACAACAGAACAACATGAAGAGGGCCTGAGATTGAGATTCTGGTCCCCTCCCTGCCATCAGTTGGCTATGGGAACTTGGGTAAATTGCTCCTCATCTCTAGGCTTCAGTGAAATGAGGTGGTTGAACAAAACATATTGAGCACATACTGTGTGCCAGCCATTGTTCGTATGCTCCCAGGCTTTAACTCATCTAAAGACCTGGCCTCTGAGGTTCCTTCAACTTCAACAGCTGTGGTTTGAGGTGAGAAGACTTTGCAGAGAATGTAAAACTTGAGAGAAATCTTCCACATTCCCATGGGGATGTTAATAGCTTTACTCATAGTAAAAGCATGTTTTCTCAAGGCATTTCTTGGTCAGAAGAAAGTTCAAGAAGGCACTTAATCCTAGGATTCACACTACCAAGCCTACAGCCAGGCCAACTGCCTCACAATAACCTTTAGAACATGTCTGAAGGCAGATTCTCAGCTTCTGCCCTTAGAGATTCTAATGCAGTGATTTCAAAGTGGGGTCCAGGAATCTGTATTAAAGGCTTCCCAGTTGACTCTGGTGGCCAGATTTGAGACTGATTCCAACACATTCCCCAGCTGTGGACAGGATCATACTTAGACAGCCCAGCCCTAGAACTGTCTGGCTTGATCATAAGTGTTCCAAGCAGATTTTTTAAAAAATGTGATGAATAATTAACTCAGCAAATATTTAACATCTGTTGTGTGCTAGGCCCTGTGCCATTTGGTGATTATGGGCCCTCTTCTCAAAGGACCCCTGGTCTCAGTCTGCCACTTAGTTTAGAAACGAGTCATCTAGCCAGAGTCAGAAGGGCATTAGAGATCACTAACCAATCCCATCATTACATAGCTGGGGAAACTGAGGCCCAGAGAGGGAATGCGACATGTTAAAGACTACACAGGGAGCAAATTTATTTTCTGCTTCCAAACAAGGTGGTTTGGCCACAGATAGGCCAAGAAGAATACGGACAAGGCTAGCTGGGTTTCCCACTCAGTCTGTTACTATTAGGCTATTCCCTTTTTGTCCAATCACATTTCTGCGCATTTCCATGCCCTTCATAGAATCCAAGCCTAAAGACAGGCAGTTTTCCTTGAGTCTTTGGGTCTTCATTTCTGAAGATTCTCATGTCTAAATAACTCTGTTTGGCTTTTCTGTTGCTAACCGGTATTTTGCTACAGGCATGTCAGCTGTGACCCTGGCGATGGGGAGGAAAGGCACCACACCTTCTCTGTCCCTACGGTCCCAGTGCCCTACCCAGAATGGGGTTTTCGAAATCCCAGGACACCCACTCTTTGTTTCTTAAACACTAAACCTACATATAGTTAGTGTTTCTGGAAATTTAACTTCAGATCTTGCTGAAATTTTAAACTCTCAACTTCCAGAGGACCATCGCGAGGTGTTTTTAAAAGCCACTGTAGGAGCAGGAAATGCTTCCCAGAATCGAGCCTTCCATCAGTTGTTGGGTGCTACTATCCCCCTTCCCCTGGTTATAATGTAGACCCCTGTGCCCGCCTTCATTCGCACTTTGGAGTCCAAAGAGGAAGGGACCGCCTCCCACGTCCACAGGGACCTGACTTCCACCTCTGCCCAGACTTGTTTATGTCAGTGTCGCCCCGGGCCGGGGAGGGGGAGCGGAGGGCAAGTCGTGCCCGCCCCTGAAATCCCAGCCGCCCAGCGATTGGCTGCAAAGGCCCAGGCCTGGCCGCGGATTGGTCACACCCGGGGGCTTGAAAGGTGTCTGGGAGCGCCGTACACCTCAGACGGACGGGGGCCGGGGATCAGGCAGCGGCTCAGGCGACCCTGAGCTCGCTCCCAGCCCGCCATGGCCCGGCTGCTGCAGGCGTCCTGCCTGCTCTCCCTGCTCCTGGCCGGCTTCGTCCCGCAGAGCCGGGGACAAGTGAAGTCGAAGGTGAGTGAGCCTCCGGGCCGGGGGCCAGGAGAACAGATCTAGCCCCTGGGTGTCCAGCGCTCAGTGCAATGCACCCCTCTTCTCAGGCTCCCCGCCAGGTGCGAGGGACGCCCTGAACCCCCGTGGCCGCCCCTCCGCCGCCGCAACCCCACCCCCGACCGTCGTCGTCTACAGTTCCATTTGTTGAAGAGCCGAGACCGGGTGCTTCAAGTGGGTGGAATGACTTGGGGAGGAAGGTCTCTCACTGCGAGCTCGCCCTTTCTCCCCACTGCCACCTCAGGGGTCGCCTTGCTACACCTCTGTCACCTCCGTGCTTGAGCCGCTCCCCTTCAATAGGGCCTGAGAGGGAGGGCGTCACAGAAAAAAATGCCTGGCGTCTGGGTGGGCTGTGGAAGTTCCCAGGGAGACAGACAGGGAGAAAGGGGAGAGGCAGCTGGGTGGTCCTGGTCTTTAAACACTGGTGTGGGGGCTCTTCTAGCCCAAGAATGATACAGGCCACTTGGATTTAGGGCGTTGGTGGAAGAGGCAGAGATCTGTGCTAGAAAGTGCTCTGGAGTGACAGTGCAGAACACCCAGGACCCTGAGTCCTCACCTGTTCCTGGACCCCCGTTTATCCACCTGCAGTGGGGGAGCTTGGGGGTGGGAGTCCAGGGGCACAGTGAAGCTGAGGGCTTCAGACAGAATGTTTGGAGAAGCTGAAAAGCCACACGCTATTCTCTGAAATTTCCTGCTGTGGGGCAGCCTCACTTCCCAGGACCCACCATCCTCCTTAGCCTGAGGAAACCTGGTAGAAAGCTGGGGACTGCAAATTCAGGAGAGGTAGAATTCTCCGGAGCCTCAGTCTATTTCCAGCAGGTGTGTGGCCCATACCTGGAGTGGGGATACTGAGGCCAGGAGTGGCATGACCCAGCATGCTTATCTCCTTGGACAGGATAGGATGTATTGGGTGGGCTCTGTAGACCTCTCCTCTTCCCAGGGAGTGGGAGTGGGTGGGGAAGGAGGCAGAAGCCAGGTGTAGGGGTAGACTCAAAGAGAGCGATTTCTGTCTCTAGCTCACACACATTTGCAAGCTCTGAGCTTGTTTCTAAAATCCTCTGGGTCTTCACTTTAATTAAGATCTTATGAGTCTAGGATTTCGTTTCCTATCCACTTCTCAGGAAGCCCATTGCAAGCCCTGGGTTCCTTCCATGTCACTCACCCCCTTTCTGTCCTCAGCCTAAATCCCATTAATCAGCCTCCTTGGAGTCAGTCTACATGTATGCGAAGCCACTTCATCCAAGTCCCCTCCTTTTTAATCCATCCCTGTTCATAATCCCCAACCCAGAAGGCATTTTCCAGATCAGGAATGGGGTCGATTTTCAAGATTGAGGTTGCGGGTGGGGCATAGACAGGCCAGCATCATGGAGTCAGTCCCAACCTCTCAGTTTTGAGAGAGTCAAAGAAGGTACAATTGGGCCCTGCCTCAAGAAGGCTAGTGGTGAGAACGTGGACTCCATGAATAACTCATCGTAGCTATGTGTTCTCTGTAGAACTCTGAGGGACATGGGGGGATAAATGGACTCAGAGAGAATAGGATGGGTATGTTCTAAGAAAGTTTTAGGGTGAGGTATGATCATATCACACGCAATCAGCCAGGACTTACTGGCTAATGAAAGCCTGGGCATACCCATCTCTGCTCCCAAGTTCTTTGAGTTGAGATGTCTTAGCTCTGGGTTAGGACCCAACCACTCACCTCACCCCCAACCCCAGAGTAAAGGGATAGGGTTAGGGGGGTATGTGGAGAATGCAATGGACAAAAGGTGACTCAGCCCCAGAGAGGTGTTTGCCTCCTCCCAATTCAAAGGGAGGGGCTAGGGAACAAATGGGGTCCTCCTTTCTGGCAGCATCCCCTCCCCAGTTCAGCTTCAGGCTGCCCAGGCTCCTTGTCCTTGCTCTACAAAAGGACTGCAGAAGCTGGAAAGAGTGACAGCTGGTGATATGCATGGGATCCTAGTAACCGCTGGTTTCTAGGTGACTAAACCTGGCAGAGAGAATCATGGAACCACACGCTGACAGAGGGAAAGGGCCCTTAAGACAGCCCTGAACCTGACTCCATCTTACAATGGAGGCGTCGGAGCCCCAGGAAAGGGGGTCACGTGGCATCAGAGACACAGCAAAGCCCAGCACTCAGGTCCCCTGCCTCCCAGACCACTTCTCACAGCATCATGTTGATAGGAGTGATAAGGTAGAGGAGAAAGACACAAGACCGCAGACCCAGCCAGCCAGAGTCCTGGCTGAGTCCCCTGATCCAACTCTCAAGACATGGGAACCCTCCTATCTTGTCCAGCTCTGGGAGGACTGAGGCACCATCCTGGCCTCTCACCTTTATGTCCTCCAGCCACTGTTTCAGGTGCAGTGCTCTGGGATTCCATGTGCCCAGAGGAGGGAAGGGGGCTCATGGAGGACTGAGTTGCAGTGATTAGTGGTGAGCACAGGTGTGCCTTCTCTACCCACAGCCCACCTTCTGACCCCCACTATCCCTTGAATGGGATTTCATTCCAAGAGACTCCATGCCTGTTTTGCTCTGCCAATAGACTCTCACAACTGTTTGGGGCGGCAGCATGCTTATCTCCCTGGACAGCATATGCCCAGACGGTGAAAGTGTCTTGCTCAGGGCCACTTAGCCAGCAAAATATAGAACCTAATGAAATAGAGTTCTCCTTGCCACACCCCCAACCTGAAACTGTGCCCAGAAGCTGGTCCTTCTGTTTACAGGATCCCATTATTTGGACAATCTGTCATCTTTTTTTTTGCTTCCATGTCTCAGAGTTCATTTTTGGATCAGGGCAGAGTTAAAAAAGTGGAGAGGCTATGGAGATGCCTGGCTTTCTAGCCACTAGACCTTTGTGGCTGTCTAGGTTGTATTTGTTGTGCCCCACCTTGTCTGCATTTTAAGGTGGAACTGGCCGTGGCTGGGAATAAGAAGGTCCAGGGACAGGAGGAATGTTGCCTCAAATACCCACCAAAAGTCACAGGGTGTGGAATATAAGACTCGTGTAAAGCAGGAAGTTTGTACCCAGAGCCAAGAAGAGAGCTTGCAGCTGCCAGGGAATGGCCTGGTGGAGGAAGCACAGCCCCGCCCGGCTCAGCAGGCCTGCTTCAGGACACAGCCAGCTCTTGTGCACCCTGCTGGGGCCAGGCCCTGCCAGCATGGGTCACTCCCTTCACCTGGTTAGGCCCAGGTACCGAGTTCTCCAGAATTGAGGGGAAGAGAGGGTGTGAATTTGCCTCTCTTAACTCCAGCCACCTGTCTCTGCCCTCTCCTGGTCTATAATGCTACTTTGCATTCCATTTTTTATTGTCTGCCCACCTCTCAAAGGCTATCAGGGCCACAAAGGACCTTAAAGACTACCCTGTACAATGATTTCAAGGTTTTTCCTTTCCCATCACAACAAGCCCACCTGCCGAATTGTGTCAATGATGCAATGACATCCTTTCAAGAGTAGTCTCAGTCTTGTTGTTTGTGTCAGGGATGAGGTAGGGGCAGAGTAAGCTCATAGGCGATATCCTACTAGCCAGCAGTGACCTCATTCCCCCCTCCCCCACTGATCATGATCCTATCAAGCCATCATGGTTGACCTGGTTGAAGAGCTGATTCAGTTCAAGGTTCTTATTTTATAAATGAGGAAACTCAGGTCCGAAGAAAAGAAAGGGCCAGTCCAAGACCACACAGGGAGTTAATGGCAGAGGGACATGGAGCCCGGGTCTCCCAGCCCACGGTCCATTGCCCTCTGCCCCTCCTTGTCCTGGAGGCTGATGTGAGCAGCAGCTGGGGAGGGAGGAAGGCATAAGGGTCGTCACCAACCTGCTCACAGACACAGAACATTCACACGTGCAGGTACTGCTGCTTTTCCCTACCTCACCACAGGCCTTTCCCCCACGCCTGCTTCCCTGTTTGGTAACAACAGCCTCATCTTTCCAGTCCTCCAGATTGGGAGCCCCCAAATCGCCATGTCCATACTGCCTCTTCCTTCTTTCCGTTCAGTTTTTCCTTCACACTGGCCTAGCCCAGGCTCTCATCCTCACTTGCCTGGATTATTGCCACAGCCATCCTACCCGTCTCCATCAGCCCCTCCAGGAACCCAGCTATCAGCTTTAGGGTAGTCTCTCTCAGCGCTCCATAAATGTTCTGGAGTTGACATGTGATGTGGAGTAATTTGCAAAAGAAGCCATTCTCCAGGGTTCCGTAGCACTCACTTATTAAGTGCTTAATCGTAATAAGTACTTATTAGGCACTTAATATTAATAAATGCTTATTAGGCACTTAAGTGCCTAATAAGCACTCATTAAGTGCTTTCAGAATCATTAGGAATTAGGAATACATAAGGAATTAGGAGACCTCAGTGCTAGTCCAGTTCCAATTCTTGGTGATGATTTTGAGATTCTTGCTGAGAACGTCACTCGCTCTGTTGGGATCTTTCATTATTTTGAAAATGGAGATGTCCGAGTTCCCTTCCAGCTCTACCTGCTCCTCCTATGGCCTTTCTGTGTTCCAGGTGGACTGCCATGGTGGCATGAGCGGCACCATTTATGAGTACGGAGCCCTCACCATCAGTGGGGAGGAGTACATCCCCTTCAAGCAGTTTGCTGGCAAATACGTCCTCTTTGTCAACGTAGCCAGCTACTGAGGCCTGACGGGCCAGTACATTGGTAAGAGCCCACCCTTCCTCCCTGCTTTATTTGGGGCTGTACGGCATATTTCAATCACAGACGCTTTTCTGGTGCATGGCGGGTCGAGGGGAGGGTGGTAGCAATCATGAGAGTCCAAGTGCCTTTTCCCAGCTCCACTGTGCTCCACAGTTTTGTGAAGATGATGAGATAAGCTTGAGGTCTGATTGCCTCTGGACCTTTTCTAGGAGATTCCCCACATACTTCATCTCCGGGCACCTCAGCCACCCTAAAGGCAGAGGGATGGTTTGTGCTTAGAGCTCCTTTTGGATGGAGCACGAGATGGTAACTGGAGCTCCATCTTGCTGAGAATGTCTCATCTTCCCTCCGCCCCGTCTGCTTTGCCGCTTCTCTTGGCAGATCTCTGGAAAGCAGGCAACTGCCTCGAGGCCCCAGAGTGTATGCGTAGTGTAGCAGGATGAAGGGGAAGGCTATACTTCTAATCCTCACTCTAAAATAAACTTTGAAGATGATCTAGTTTGGCCTTCCCCTCTTCTCAGTTTACAGATAGGAAACCAAGGCTCAGAGTGGAGACGCAACTTAAGCAGGGTCACAAAGCTGTTAGTGGCAGAATGGGGCATTTGGCCCAGGTTTCATGATCCCCTGATATGCTTACTTCTTTCTCCCTAGCTGTAGTAGAGCGCAGAGGCTGAGGGAACAGGCAGCCAAAGGCATGTGAGTGCACCCAGGGGAAAACGCTTTGGTGCTGAGCAGTCTGCTGGCAGGGGTCAGGGAGGCAAGGGCAATCTGGCCCTCCATGCTCTGCCTGTCAATCACAGGCAAATTCCTGGAAGTGAAAGGACAGCGGGGCGCATGGGCCAGTGGCCATGAGTGCTGTGTCTGGAATGCGTCTCTGTAGCCTTGAAACAGAACAGAGTGCATTTGGGCAAGAGATGGGGCAGGTGCTACTGCAAGAGAGGCCAGGGGACACTGAAGAAACTGGGGACCTGGGCCAGGCCCTCATCAGTGTTCCTAATTTGCCAAAGATTACGGGAAAATTGTAATCCCACCCAGCCTCAAAGAAGTTCTCTGCCTTCTATCCAGGGTTGGATAGTTCTTGCTCCAGGAAACTCAATCCTGAGGGCCTTAAATGAGTGCTCCACCAACTGGCCCAGGTGGAGGGCCTTGGCAATTGGTAGGTGACTGACAGCTGATTTGGGGAAGGGTGTTATTTTTTCCCCCAAAACCTCTAATCCATCCAGATTAGAGTCAAGAGGATAGGACCTGAGTCCCAGCATTGCCATGAACTCACTTGTGATCTTGGGCAAGTCCCTCCCCTTCTTGGACCTCAGTAGTTTCAGCCGCACAGTAGGAGAGCCGGGGAGTGGTATGGATGAGACAGGGCTCCTCACCAGATACTCCCATGTCCGCTCTTTTTCTTTGGCCCAGAACTGAATGCACTACAGGAAGAGCTTGCACCATTTGGTCTGGTCGTTCTGGGCTTTCCCTGCAACCAATTTGGAAAACAGGAACCAGGAGAGAACTCGGAGATCCTCCCCAGCCTCAAGTGAGTGCTCACTCAGCATTCTAAGAAAGCTCCTTTCACAGAACCCACGTGTCTGGCATCAGCCCCAGTTCTTGGTGGACATTTATTAGCCACCAAGAACCACTCTCCTTTGGACAGGGACGACTGGTTGTGATGTACCTCCCAGGGGAGCACCGAGGTGGGGGGACACTGAGAAGGGACCAGGTGGGAAAAGAAGATTGAGGATTCATGTTATGCCTACCCCCCTGCAGTTCACTGGCTTCTGCTGCCCACCTTGGAATAAATCCAGACTCCCAACCCCTCCTCCCTGTTCTGTCCCTTCCTCTCATTTCTGAGGCCTGTGCCCATCTCCTTGGGACCCACCTAAGAACATTCCTCAACAGGTATGTCCGACCAGGTGGGGGCTTTGTCCCCAATTTCCAGCTGTTTGAGAAAGGGGATGTGAATGGAGAGAAAGAGCAGAAATTCTACACTTTCCTAAAGGTGAGTGAGCTGCCACCTGTTTTGGCAGAGGCTGCAGCCCCTCCTGGCTCCAGCCCACACTGTCAAGGTCCATGCCACCTCCCCTGCTCCTGGGCTCTTGGGGAATTTCTTGGTATCTATTGTTCCAGCCAGAGGGCTCTGCAGACGCTGCCTAGGGTCCCATCAGCCCATTTTACAGGAAAGGCCCAGGAGGAGGACCCAGAGTAACATGCTAAGGGTCTCACAATCTTCTAGAGCCACAGCTGATGCTGGCAGTCAGTCTTCTAGCTGTGTTCTCAGGGTCAGGCTGTTCTCCCACCCCAGGAAGGCCTGGGGAGGAAGAGGGTTTCCGGGGGGGCCCCAAGCAAGGTTGACACTCCTTTCATCCCTGCTCTAGAACTCCTGTCCTCCCACCTCGGAGCTCGTGGGTACATCTGACCGCCTCTTCTGGGAACCTATGAAGGTCCATGACATCCGCTGGAACTTTGAGAAGTTCCTGGTGGGGCCAGATGGTATACCCATTATGCGCTGGCACCACCGGACCACAGTCAGCAACGTTAAGATGGACATCCTGTTATACATGAGGCACCGGCAGGCAGCCCAGGAGGTCAAGAGGAAGTAACTGAAGCCCGTCTGATCCCATGTCCACCATGTAGGGGAGGGACTTTGTTCAGGAAGGAATCCGTGTCTCCAACCACACTATCTGTCCACCACAGACCCCTTTCCTATCACTCAAGGCCCCAGCCAGACACAAATGGATGCATACAGTTGTATGTCTATACTGCCAGGCATGTGGGTGTGGGTACATGTGGGTATTCACTTGCCTACAGGCATGCATGACTGTGTGTGTGTGTGTGCATGGGTGAACAGCCACATGCCTACCTGTATGTCTATCTGGGAATGTCTGTCCATCTCTGTGCCTGCAGCTGTGTGCTGTGTAGTGCTGGAGAATAACACCCCTTTCTCTCCAGTTCTCCATTCCAATGATAATAGTTCACTTACACCTAAACCCAAAGGAAAAACCAGCTCTAGGTCCAATTGTTCTGCTCCAATACCTCAACCTTGGAGCCAGCATCTCCCACTGCCTCCAAATATTAGTAACTACCACTGACATCCCCAGAAGTTTCTGGGTCTACCACACTGCCCAAACCCCCCTCCTCCTTCCTGAAGGGCCCTCCCAAGGCTACATCCCCACCCCACAGTTCTCCCTGAGATCAGCCAAGGCAGATGTGAGAGCGAGGGCCATGTACCCATGTCAGGGGTGGCATCTTCATGAGGGAGGGGCCCAAAGCCCTTGTGGGCGGGCCTCCCCTGAGCCTGTCTAAGGGGCCAGCCCTTAGTGCATTCAGGTTAAGCCCCTGGGCAGGGATGCCACCTCTGTTCCTTCAGAGGACATGCCATCTCCCCTCACTGGTCCATTGGCATGAGACTCACCCCACCTGCCCAGTAAAAGCCTTTCTGCAGCAGCTGAGCCTATGTGTGTGGTGCTTCTTCACTGGTGGCCACTCCCGCCTGGGGGGGGAGTGAGGAGAAGGTGGGGCAGGGTAAACTGCGGAGGATGAGAAAAGAACAAAAACAACAAAAACACTTTTTACAGTGGGTGCCAAAGTATTTGCGGTTTTTGCCATATGGCAAAATCCAAAGCTACATCCCCACCCCACAGTTCTCCCTGTGATCGGCCAAGGCAGATGTGAGAGCGAGGACCACGTAGCCCACGTCAGAGGTGGTGTCTTCATGAGGGAATCCCCTCCCCGCCACCATCAAAAAGGGGCAAAAACCACATTTACTTTTGCAACAACCTAATAGCTATGTGCAGTGGCGCAGCCCTGTAGCCCCAGCTACTTGGGAAAGCTGATGTGGGAGGCTCCCTTGACAAGCCCAGGAGTTTGAGGCTATGATGTGCCGTGATTGAGTCTGTGAGTAACCACTGTACTCCAGCCTGGGCAACAGAGTGAGACTGTCTCTTAAAAAAGAAAAAAAATGAGAAATTAGAGAATGCTTTGCTTTGGGTTGCTGCTTTTTGGCTTCCACCTTGGCCCACTCTGCTTCTCCACTCAGCATTTGGAGTTTATAAAACCAGTTCTTACCTACTGTCATTCCCTCCCACAGTTCTCCAACTCAGCTAAGGTTAAGACGAGGTGTTTTGTTTGACGGATGAGGAAACTGAGGCTCACAGAAGGGCCAGGCCTTGCCCCAGGTCTCCTGATGAGTGAGGGGTAGGACCAGAGTTTAAACCCAAGTCCCCTGAGTCCTGGCCTGCCCTACCCTCAGGGAGGCCCTGATATGTCACCATTACCCAAGAGTAACAGTGACCCTCTCAGGGAAAGGGGGGAAAGGGGAATAGAAGGAAGGACCAGGAAAGCAGGGGGTTGACAGAGGAACATTAGGGCATAAAAGAACACAAGTCACAGAATGTTGATCTTCAACTTGGATTTATGTCCATGATTCGTGCAAATAGCTATCCAGGAATGGACAGCCACCCTAATCCGGGCTTCTGGCACCACAGGCCTCCAGCTGCAGGGTCAAGGGTCTGAACCTCAGGGCCTGCAGCTTCAGGCTGGAGCCCCTCAGCAGACGTGGCTGGCATGGCCTTCTCCCATCTGTGATGGCTTCAGCGAGGCTACTGTGCGTGGAGGTGGCGAGGGCCCCAGAGTCAGAACATCCGTCGTTCTCTTCTGCTCCGGAGACAATCCCACACTTCCCACAGCTCCTCACAGAGGGGTAGGGCTGTGCGTGCGACAGGTCCTGCTACAGAGCTTGAAGCAAAAAAATAAACATACACACAAATTGGTCATGGCACCCAGAGGGCCTGAAGCCACTTCTGTGATGTTGTGAAGGAAGGGGGTCTTGGCCGCCCCCCACTCTTAGGATTGCTGCTCCTGGAGGCTTCTGCAGCGGATGGCAGGTCAGAGCTGGATGAGGTCTCTCTTCACTCAGCAGCAGGGTAGTGAGTTTTTCCCAGTCACTCCCCGCAGAGTGCAAATGAAAGCCTTCTGGGCAGAGCCTCCCTAGTCTTGTAAACAGCTCAGTTCAGGGACTGGGGTACAAGCTGGCCACCCATCTCGGCCTCTCATCCAGTTGAGGCTCTGGCCACACTGTGCATGTGACTTCTAGTTTTTCGGCAATCTGAGGTCAGCTGGCTCTGCAAGATGAAGGTGGAGCCAAATGACACAATCTGGTCTCACTGAGGCCCCTCACGGTCATTTTTTGCAGACTCTAAATAAACAAAAATTTTGAGGACTTCATGATTATGTGATAGACTGAGTTTCAAAGTCTCTTATAGAATGCAATACAGGAACAGTGAAAATAACAGCTAGGGTTCCTGGGTGCTACCAAGTGCCAGGGCTAAATACCTTAGGTACACTGGTCATGTAATCTTCACCCAGCCCTACAAAGAAGGCAGATTATTATCCCACTGTAAAAGAGGGAACTGGGACACTAAGAGGTTTTAAAATGACTTGCCCGTAGTTCCAGGTCCAGGAAGCGGTGGTGCTAGGATTTGAACCCAATCGTGCTCCAGACCCTAGAAGTGGAGCAGTTCTGGGGAGGGAGCCCCTCCCATTGAGAGGTAGTTCCTCTACCACTCAAGGGGCTCCACTGAACTTGTAGGGATCTTCAGCGAACCACAGAAAATGACTGAGCAGTCCAATCCCTTCTTCCAATCACCAAATCCTCCAAACCATACTCCCTCCAAGGTCCCCTGGCCTGTACTCCCACACAGGGACACTCATTACCTCCGGCAGAGCTGGCTCCATTTCTGCACAACTGTGTCCCTTAGAAAGTTCCTCTTCATGTTGCGATGGACTGGGTCTCCCTGTCATTCCCACCCACTAGTTCTAATTCTGTTCCCAGAAGTCCCACAGGCGAGGTGGTGCCTTGTGCCCTGTAAGAGCTCTGCAGGGAGCAACAGCGGTCGCTAAGGTCCCAGTCTTTCGACCAGCAGACACAGCTCCAGGCCCTTCAGGCTTTCAGGGAGGACATCACAGCCAGAGGGAGCTTCTCAAACAGAAATATGGTCATGCCACTCTGCTTTAAAAATGTCCAATGACTACTCATTATGCTGAGGAAGAGACGCAGGCCTCCCGCTGCACTCTGCAGGCCTGCACAGTCAGGACTTGGCCGCATCCCTAAACCCCGCGTTGCCCCTCTCTTTCCCCACCTTGTTCTTGGCTCCAGCCACACTGGTCTTCCCTCAGATCCTCAGATCGGCTACCCTTCTTCCCCCTCCTCCCACCAAGGCCTCTGCATTTCTCATGTTCTCTGAAAAGCATCCTTCTCCCCTACCTTTCCACCTAGCTAGTGCCACTCATTCTGAGAGTCTCAACTCAAATGCTGCCACCTATGGGAAGCTCTCCTAAGCCCCTAGTCTATGTCGGCGTCTTCTGCCATCTGCTCCCACAGAAACCTGCTCTTCCTCCTTTAGGGCACTTGAGTGCAGCCTGTCTGTGTGGTGTTTGTTTATTCATTTCTGCCTCCCTCATTAGACATTATGCTGTATAAGGGCAAGGACCGTATCTGCTTCTGTTCTCTTGGCATCCACAGCACCTAGTACAATGCCTGGCATTTAGACAATGCACTAGAATGAATGGTCTCAACCTCGCTCACCCCGCAGTTGCCATCACTCTCCTTTCAACACTGTTTTGGAAAGCTGGACCTCTCCTCCACCAAGATCAGAAAGTAGCAACATCATCCCCAATCTCAGGCAATGCTGGCAGATGCAAAGCTGTCTCCCCCAGGGAGGAACGAGACTTAGTACTAGGGGCTCACCTGGTTCTGCAGGCCTGGCTGCGGGAGGGTCCATCACTTGGGAGCTCTGATTTGGATTTCGAATCCCTCCACAGGGTAGACGCCAGGTGTATTCCGGCTGCGACAAAACTGGTACTTAATAATCAATAACCACACCCAAAAATTACAATTGCACCTACTGTGCCAGGACAGTACTAAATCTGTATTAGTCAAGTATAATTGAATCTTTACGACAACCCAGGCTGTCGCTCCCATTTCACGGGTAAGGAATCTGAGGCTCAGAGAGGATAAGTAATTGCTGAAGGTGTCCAGCAAGCAGAATGGCCAGACTTGGATTTGAACCCAGGTCTTTGTAAATCCAGAGCCAATTTCTTAAGCACTACACTATACTCTGGTGTTTAAAGATGTATACCAGAACGGTCATATGGAAGAAGCTGAAAAAGAGGCCAGGCAGGAGGCTTCTGTAATGCTCCAGGGGAGAGCTGGGATGCCTCAAGTGGGGCTGTGGCAGGGGACTGGAGAAAAGGGGACAAGTGACAGCAGGTATTTGGAGGAAGAATGGTAAGAAGGGAAAAGAGGCCAGGTGCAGTGGCTCACAACTGTAAATTCCAGCACTTTGGGAGGCCAAGGTGGGTGGATCACCTGAGGTCAGGAGTTCAAGACCAGCCTGGCCAACATGGTGAAACCCTGTCTCTACTAAAAATACAAAGTCATCCAGGTGTGATGGCACATGCCTGTAATCCCAGCTACTCAGGAGGCTGAGGCAGGAGAATCACTTGAACTCAGGAGGCAGAGGTTGCAATGAGCCGAGATCGCATCACTGCACTCCAGTCTGGGTAAAAAAAGTGAAACTCCATCTCAAAAAAAAAAAGAAAAAAGGAGAAGGGAAAAGAAAAAAGAGAGCGAGGAAAGGGAAAGGAAAGGGAGAGAAACATGGTGAGGCTCTGATACCCCTGGACTGGGGCCTGGAGGGAGTCCCCCTTCCCACCCTGCACTCTCACTCAGACTTCTCCATCCTAGACCAGTGACCCCAAACAGCTGTGGAGCAGCCCTACAGGATCGTGGCCAGATCCCTGCCCCTGGGTAGCAGGCCAGAGCCAGGCCCTGGACACCCACCTGCCACCACAGTGCTGTTTAGTTCAGAGGGATGCAGTTTCTGACCCCCTCACTTAACCTTCCTCTCTGGAAGGTGTCTGGGGCAGCCTCTGCATGTGCCCTGGAGCAAGGGAGGGACACAGACTCACCAGATGGAAGAGGCGTGAGTTGGGGAGTGGGGGCGGGTGCTCCATGGCCATGGGGGGAGGGGGGTAGCGGATCTGGGACCAGTCCTCGAAGCCGTGGTGTGGTACCATGGCTGGCATGGGTGGGTAGGCGTAAGGGTAGGCACCGCAGAGGTGTTCCGGGTGGGGCTCCACATGGTAGCGCTCTCCAGAGGCCTGCAAGAAAAGCTCACGTCTGGCTTTGGCCTGCAACAGGCTGCACGGGATACCCATCTCATCTCCCTTTCTCTAATTAGAACATTGGCTCTCTGAAGGCTAGTAGGCTGGGTACCAAAGGCTGGTACATGGTCATGAAAGACTGCTACATGGCTACAGAAATCTGGATACATGAGCATGGAAGGCTGCATGAGCATGGAGGGCTGGGTACATATGCATGGAAGGTTGTGACATGGGCACGGAAGGCTGGTACACAGGCACGGAAAGCTAGTACATGGGCACGGAAGGCTGTTTACATGGGCATGGAAGGCTGGGCACATGGGCACGGAAGGCTGGGCACATAGACATGGAAGGCTAGGCACATGGGCATGGAAGGCTGGGCACATGGGCACGGAAGGCTGGTACATGGGAATGGAAGGCTAGCACATGGGCACGGAAGGCTGGGTACATGGTCATGGAAGGTTGGGTACATGAGGATGGAAGGCTGGTACATGGACATGGAAGGCTCATACACGGGCAGAGATGGCTAGTCACATGGGCACGGAACAACAGTGATGACAGCTAATGCGTTGTGAACACTGCCGCTGTACCAAATCTGCTCTAAGACTTTTCCCATACAACTCATCAGTTAACTGGCAGACAATGTCCCAGCCCGAGCACACACCGTGTCCATCGGGCTAGCTCCCTGAGGAAGGTAAGATGATGTCAGTGCTGCCACCTCCCTCAAGCCTCCTCACCTTTGCTTTCCTCTTCTGCTGTCTGAGGGCTTCTCTTGCCTTCTCCTCATCTTTGAACGCTTTTAGCTGAGAGAAGCGGGAGGGAGAGAAGACTGTCCGCACAGGTTGTTTCTGGCCAGGCCTGGATCCAGGGCCTAACCAGCCAAGAGCGCTGACTGGCTGATGCTTCCCTCTGGGCCACCATGCCTGGCCTGGCCCCGGGGAAGGGCCCTGAGGGCCAGGCACAGCCCAGGGTGTTGCTACAGGCCACCTGCTCATCACAGTGGTCTGTGTACAGGTCAAGAGGGTTTACGTGACCCTCGCTGCTTCCGTGCTAACATCTTTTAGTTCCACTCTGTGACAGTAAAGCCCCAGAAGTGACTGTGGAAAGTCAGAGGTGGAGGTATCTTACAGTAAACCTCATCATTGTACAAAGAAAGAGTCAGAGAAGGAAAGGGCCTTGCTGAGGTCAAACACGATTGCAGAGCTGGAGAGAACCAGTGAGTGTGCTGATGTCCAGCCTCACCAGGGCCCTCCAATCCACACCCCCTCTCCCCAAGAGGACAGACCAGTTGCCCTTCCTGGGTCCAGCCACTCTCACCTGGGCATTCGACAGGGTGACCTGGGCCTGCAGCTTCTCCACTTGCTTCTTCAGCTCTTCCTTCTCCTCATTCATGCGCTCACGATCGCTGCGCTCCCTCTGGAAGTCCTCCTCAAAGATCTTCACCTGGTGTGGAGGGAGGGTGAAGAGAGGGCGGGTGACCGTTCTGAGTAGGGGTTCCCACCTCCTCAGGCACGGACTCCCATGCCTCCTGCTGGGGTCACAGAGGGCAGAGCTGGGGGTCGTCATGGGGAGTGGGACAGGTACACCTCCAGCCCCCCCCAACTTCAAACAGAGTGGTTCTGTGTCCTAATATCTTACATTCTGGGCTTCAAAGTAGGACTTTATTGGAACGAAGGATCTATGGCTTTTTTTTTTTTTTTTTTTGAGATGAAGTCTTGCTCTGTCGCCAGGCTGGAGCACAGTGGTGCAGTCTTGGCTCACTGCAACCTCCGCCTCCCAGGTTCAAGCGATTCTTCCACCTCTGCCTCCCAAGTAGCTGGGACTACAGGCGTGTGTGAAACGCCCGGCTAATTTTTGTAATTTTAGTAGAGACGGGGTTTCACCATGTTGGCCAGGATGGTCTCAATCTCTTGACCTCATGATCCACCTGCCTCAGCCCCCCAAAGTGCTGGGATTACAGGTGTGAGCCACCGCGCCCAGTCGGATCTGTGGCTTTTTAAAAAAAGATTGAAAGCTACCAACCAGTGCAATCCTTTCACTCCACTGAGACCCACAGGGGCAGTGAGCACAGAACCAGAGTGTGGTGGAGACTGGAGTCTCAATCTGCTGGTTCTGAGAGCAGGCACCCTACAAACTCTGCTAGGTGGGCTGGGAGGGGCCTGCCTCTGTCTCAGCCTGTAGTGCAGATTAGCCGAGACACTGGCTAGGTTCAAGATAGTTTAGGAGAATCAAAAGCACAGGATTAAATAGCATAGAGACAATGGCAGAGCCATCACTTTTCATTTCCTTTCAACCCAATCCTTCTGTGTCCCGCAGGGTTAGCAGGTCTTTAATACCTTTCTAGTATTCAATCTCCTTTAAATAAAGGGGAAAGGAACCCTAGTTCAGATCCTTCATCCGGCAAGAGTATCTGGCTGGAGTTTAATAACATTGTTTTGTTTTTATTGTGTTTATTGCTTACAGATACTTTCTACTTGTGACAAATAATAAATGGGTTTTCCATTTACGGTAGTGATATAAAGCTCCCTTTCAAATTCATTTATTTAGAGTTTATTTTATTTTATTTTATTTTTTTGAGACGGAGTTTTGCTGTTGTTGCCCAGGCTGGAGTGCAATGGCACGATCTCGGCTCACCGCAACCTCCGCCTCCTGGGTTCAAGCAATTCTCCGGCCTCAGCCTCCCGAGTAGCTGGGACTACAGGCATGCACCATCATGCCCAGCTAATTTTTGTATTTTTAGTAGAGACGGGGTTTCACCTTGTTGACCAGGATGGTCTCGATCTCTTGACCTCATGATCCACCCGCCTCAGCCTCCCAAAGTGCTGGGATTACAGGCTTGAGCCACCGTGCCCGGCTAGAGTTTATTTTTTAATACTAGGTAAATAATAGCATGGGTCGGGCACAGAGCTGGCTAAATCATAAAGTGGTACAGGAGCCACTTAAGCTAGGGTTATGGTGCTGGAAGGATAAACCTAGAGCCAGATGGGGGCCGTGGCCAATGGCCAGAAAGTGGATTACTAATTACAGGTTCCATGTGATTCCAAGCCGTCTGGGCCCTCAGGAAAGCTCCAGCTCCCACTGAGCACCTCCCACCTGACTTCCTCTCAGAGGCCTCACCTGCTGTTTCAGCAACTCGTTCTGCGTGACCAGCTCCTGTTTCCTTAGGAGGCCCCCTGCTCCTTCTGGGCTCCCAAATGCTGTTGGTGGAGATGATGGGGGGGCTTGGATACTCAGTGCCTCCTCCAGGGCCTGGAATCAGGAAGAGAAAAGATGGAACCATCAGCAGGAACCCCTGGAAATCAGGCCCCTTTGGAGGGGTCATCCTCAGGGACCTTCTTCCTAATAATGATACTACTATAGCCACCCCCAGCAGTCCTATTTAATAAATGCTACCCTATTTATTAGCATTCTACATGGATCATTTCATTGAATCTTCTGCACAGTGCCATGAAGAAAAGATTATGATCATCATCCTCATTTTACAGATGTGAGAACTGAGACTCAGAAACCTGAAGGGACTCATCCGAGGTCACACAGCTAGTAAGTGGCAGAGCAGGGATTCAAGCCCAGCATATGCTCTTACCCAGAAGGCTAAACTGGGGTTGACATGTAGAAGGGGAAACCTCCCCTTCCCTGAACAGGTGTGGCTCAATTCTTACCATCCAGACCTAGAAGGAACATTAATCCTCTGGGGGAAGCTTCAGTCTCCCCAACGACTGCCCTGCCCTGAGATTCTTCAGCTTCAGCAACTCATTCCCATCCAAACCACCCCTTCCATCCTCAACTCTTCTGTAGAAAGAGTAGACTGGATTTAATTTCTACTTAGTTAATATTTTCCCTTTCTAACCCTAAAAATGGGCTGAAATATCACCAAATAACTTTTTGAAAATAAAAAAGTACTCTTGCTGGGCACGGTGGCTCACGCCTGTAATCCTAGCACTTTGGGAGGCCGAGATGGGTGGATCACCTGAGGTCAGGAGTTCAAGGCCAGCCTGGCCATCATGGTGAAACCCCATCTTTAAAAAAATAAATAAATAAAATTTAAAAAGTACTCTTAATCTATCATGTTCAGAAAATACTTTTCTTTATGTAAATAGTGTGCTCACATCTTCTCAAAGCTTTCTGTTAACTGTGTTTCCCCTTTAACTCTGTTAGCACATTACTCAGAAGTCTGGAACATCTCTCAAGACCGGTCACCCTGTACTTATCACCACTTGGACTTCAGCCCCAGGACAGCTGGGCCTCCCCTCACATGCCTGGGCATCACCTATGGGCCTCCCTGGACCGGGGGGAGACAGAGACCTGGCCCAACTTGGACTCAGGCTTCCATCTGGTCTCCTCAGCTTCCCTAGACACAAAGAAATTGTAGGACCAAGAGAAAATTCAGGAAGCTCCATGGGGAAGTTAGGGCTCCACTTTATCTTCCTAGTCCACCCTACTGTTGTTGTTTTTTTTTTGGAGACAGAGTTTCACTCTTGTTGCCCAGGCTGGAGTGCAATGGTGCAATCTCGGCTCACCATAACCTCCACCTCCCGGTTCAAGCGATTCTCCTGCCTCAGCCTCTCAAGTAGCTGGGATTACAGGTATGTGCCACCACGCCTGGCTAATTTTGTATTTTTAGTAGAGACAGGGTTTCTCCATGTTGGTCAGGCTGGTCTTGAATTCCTGACCTCAGGTGATCCCGCCCACCTCAGCCTCCCAAAGTGCTGGGATTGCAGGTGTAAGTCACTGTACCTGGCCTCCACCCCACTTTTTAGATGAAATGACTGAGGTCTTGAGACAGGGAGATGCCTGAGGTCATGAGCACAGAAGGCTACCTGCCCTGCATCACTCATCCACATGGGTGTCTATCCCCAGCTCTGCCAAGAAAACCTCCAAGGTTATCTTTCTGATTAGCAGTGTGGACAATTCTCTGCCTGGATTTAGAGCCCCAAGTCCCCCAGCTCAGGACAGATCATTTTTTTCTCTAGAAACAGGTCAAGAACCCCAGACTTGGCATAATCAGTGTTTACAAAAACCGAAATCAAAAAGAAAGGGTTTCCCCAGCTGGCGTAGGAATGCTGAACTCATGCCAGAGTTCACTGTGACCAGGGTCAGGATGCAGCGGGAAAGGAAAAACAATTAGCAAGAAAGGAAAAGCAGAGCCATGAACTTAACTCCTGAGGCCCTCAAGAATGTTTCCTTTCAAAGCTCCCTCCTGTCAGCTTCCATCTTTGAAACCCTACTGGACGGTAGGCAGTGCTAGAACTCAGATAGCAAAACTGAGGATCAGGGCTCAGATGGCAAAACTGAGCTGGAGAGGCTAAGCTGGGACTAGACCACTCTGCTTGGCTCAGATCAGAGGGTTTCTGCTTTCCCCAGCCTCCACTCTGGGGGCCCCATCTCCCTGGATCCCACTGCACAAGGGCAGGGCCCTCAGCCTCTACCCTCCTCCCACTCCCTTCAGTGCTTCCTGAACACGTGCTCAGTGCCAGGCGCTGTGCAAGGAGCCAGGGGCAGACACCTTGGTGAAGGTGTGCACCTCCCACTGCCAGGTGGGAAGACAGAATCAAGTAAGTGATGATGAGCCACGAGAAGCGGTGTGAGAGAAGTTGCTGGTACCTTAGGAACATAGACCAGGGCAAGCTGAATGAGACTCGGGGAAGGCTTTGCTGAGCAAATGAGGGTAAAGTGAGTCCTGACAAGCAGGGTGGGCAGGTGAGGCGTAAAGGGAAGTGTGCACCTCCAGAAGGAAGAGCGACACAGGCTCATCCAAGGGCTGGGTCACTCTGGGTGTGGGAGGCAATGGCAGAGCAGATGGGAAGCAGGACGCCAGCTGGCTGACTGGGGGTTACCCTTCCTGAGCTGAAGGGCTGGGGCACCAGTGACGGGGTGGGCATTGCAGCTGGACTCAAGGGAGCCCTGCCCAGCCAAGGGACCCAGGCCGAGGCACCCACCTTGTTGAGCCGCTGGATCTCTTTTTCCTGGTACTCGCGCTGCCGGGTGAGCGGGCTCAGCTGATCCTGTAGGTACTTGACCTTTTGGCGCAGCTCCTTGGCCTCCGCTGTCAGCTGTTCCTTGTCGGTCTGCAGGGAACACGGGGTTGGTAAGCGGGGTAAGGGTGGCCTCTCCAGGAGGCTTCGGACTCCCTGTCCTGCCTGGCCTAGCCTTTACCAGTGCCAACCTTTCTCCCTTGGCCATCGCTCCACAATGCTCACATGCAAGGCACCTGGGGTCGGCACGGTAATGTCCACACGGTCCTGCCCTCAATTATTATGTGTCAATTTAAAATAATAACAAAAAGCAGAAAAAGCAGAAGCTCAGTTGAGTAAAAGACCTTGGATTCTGACACCAGTTCATCCACAAGCAGCCGAGATCCCAGGCACTGCCACCGCCCTCTCTTGTCTAAGCTTACCTACCGGTTACAGGTACAGGGTTCCTAACATGAGTCACAGAGAGGCCTCTGGAGGGCTGTGAGCCCCAAAACTGAATGCAAAATTTTGTCTGTGTGTAATGTGCTAGAAAGAAAAGCCATAGTTCTGACCAGATTCATGTGGGGGGTCTTCTGTGATCCACAGAAAGCGATGAACTACTGATAATCCCTAACAGACACTTCAGCACGTACGGCCTCGGAGCCTAGAAGAGAGATGATACTCCCAGAGAGAAATGTGGCGTAAGGCAGTGAGTGCCCCTCCGGAAAAGAACAAAGTACTGTGGGACTAAAAGAAAGATCGCCACAGCTGAGGGAAGGCTTCCAAGAGGTGGTTCCATAGGGGCTTCATCACAGCCAAGGGATGGCCCTTGGACAGCATCAGGCCCCAGCCCTGTAATATGTTAAGCAACAAATGTCCAGAGAGGGGAAGGGACATAGCCAAGGCCCCACAGTGAGCTGGGGCTAGAACCCAGGTTTCTGTTCCCTTGCTCTCTCCCCTACCACGTCAAAGGAAGTATTTAAACTACAGGATGCAGCACAGTGCAGTGGAAAGACCAGGCACATCCCCAAATAAACTATACATTCCTACGTGTACATAGGTGGGAGAAAGGTCTGGAAACAGATGCACCAAAACAGTGACAGTGGTTCCCTCTGGGGAGGGCCTGGAATCATGGTGGGGGAAGGTGGTCCAAGGAAACTTTCACTTTGCAGTGTGTGGACATTTCGTAACTGTGTATTCACAGCATGTGATTAGGAGATCAGCTGCAGCAGTTAGTTTTCACCAGCCCTGTGTGACCTTTAGTATTCTACAAACCACCTTGTGAGCTGTTTCCATCCAGAGACTGATTGCAGAGGGTAGCCTTGGTCAGAACTCCATGGGAGGTACTCTGGACTCCCTGCCAACAGGCTCCCGCACGGGCATGGCCTTTTCCGAAATGTGTACTTATCTACAGGGCCACCCCTTGTCATGAAACGTCCTATCTTCCCTGAAGCTGACAGGGAAAAGTGCCCTCGGATTCCAGAGATTTGTCTTACCTACCATTGTGAACAAAGGGAGGGGCCAAAGAGCCAGGATGTCTGGCCAAGAGTAACCAGATGTGATCGTGCACTCATAAGGAAAGACAGAAGTGTCCTTCCTACCACAGCTCCAAGTTATGGGGGTGTCACAGATGCAGGCTGACTGCTAAGATAAGGCCCCTAGTGTCCCATGCTGATGGGGCAATCTGTGTTGGAAACATCCATTTCTAAGCTAGGAAAAAGACCATGCCCAGTTCCTATGGAGGGGAAAACATGGTGACATAAATAAAATCTCCCGAGATTCTGGCAGTCAAGTGGCCTTTTCTCTCCAAGGTCCGGAGGGGCCCTGGCTGGTGTCAGTCATACATATGACTGGACAGATACTACTATTTCAGGGGACCTGTTGTTTCCCTGCAAGAAAAAATCTGGTCCCCCTTATGCCCACTCTCTGATCTCTGAAACTTCTTTGTAACATTTCTTTTTTCCCTTAGACAAGGTCTCATTCTATCACCCAGGCTGGAGTGCAGTGGCACGATCTCAGCTCACTGCAACCTCCGCCTTCCAAGTTCAAGCGATTCCCATGCCTCAGCATTCCGAGTAGCTGGGACTATAGGCATGAGCCACCATGCCCAGCTAATTTTTGTATTTTTAGTAGAGACAGAGTTTCACCATGTTAGCCAGGCTGGTCTTGAACTCCTGACCTCAAGTGATACACCCGCCTTGACCTCCCAAAATGGTGGAATTATAGGCATGAGCCCCTGTAATGCCTGGCCATACTTTTTTCTTTTAAAGAAATAGGGTCTTACTCTGTTGTTCAGTCTGGAGTGCAGTGGCACAATCACAGCTCACTGCAGCTCAAGAAATCCTCCCATCTCAGCCTCAGCAGCTAGGTCTATAGGTGCATGGTACTACACCCAACTAATTTTTAAAATTTTGTACAGACAAGGTCTTGCTATGTCACCAAGGTTGGTCTTGAACTCCTGGCCTCAAGCAATCCTCCTGCCTCGGCCTCCCAAAGTGCCATGATCACCGGCGCAAGCCATCACACCTGGCCTTCTCTGCAATACTTAACACGGTTTTACTTATTTGCTTCTGTAATTAGTTGTCTGGCACCTCTTCCCCCGCAAAGGCAGGGCTGTTCCCCTGGACTCTATGTCCAACACAGTGCCTGAGGCAGGATCTGAGCACAAACGCCTGGAAGAATGGGTAGGTGGAGCTCTATCTCATGCTGTAGCCCCTCCCTCACAAATCGCCATCACTACGCTGAACAATTAGCAGCATCCCACCCCACCAAGCGCCATAGAGCTGGCCTGCTAGGATCTTTTTTTTTTTTTTTTTTGAGACAAAGTATCACTCTTGTTGCCCAGGCTGGAGTGCGATGGTGCAATCTTGACTCACTGCAACCACTGCCTCCCAGGTTCAAGCGATTCTCCTGCCTCAGCTACCGGAGTAGCTGGGATTACAGGCACCTGCTGCCACAGCTAATTTTTGTATTTTTAGTAGAGACAGGGTTTCATCATGTTGGCCACACTGATCTCAAACTCCTGACTTCAAGTAATCCATCCACGCTGGCCTCCCCAAGTGCTAGGATATTGGAAGCATTTGAGAGCAGGCCCTAAGCCTGGTATAAACAGAACTTAAAGAAACTGGCCATAAACAGAATATCTATAGTACTGTGACATCCTCGTGAGGGCAGTGACGCACATTGCTAGAGGTTGTTGGATTACTGGAGCTGGGGAAAGACCTAACCCGCCCTTGGGTGGAAGACTGCTCAGGGGGGCTTCTGAACCATACACAATATCATGAGCGACAAGTGCCTTAGACATGTTCCAGCTGCAGCAGATAAACGGCCAGAGCCTGTTTCTTGCCACTAAAGAATGCTTTGTTCCCTGCAAGAATGCTTTCAGTTAAATGATGATTATCACTTGCTGGCTGTCAATAAATGTGTGGGTCAAACTCTGTTCAAGGCTCTCAGCTGGGAATGCCGAGGCCCCGTCTGTCCCATACCTTTTTGCTCTCTATCTCTGTCTGTTTCTTAATTCCTGCAGCGCCGCCTGGGTTGGGGTCTCTACAACCGAGCTGGTATCAGTACTGGGATTACAGGTGTTGGCCATCACGCCTGGCCACCTGGTTGGATCCTCTATACTGTGTGTTTCCCTGTATAATTCCCCAGTCCCTACGATTTTAATGGAACACAAAGTTCTGAATAAAAACAAGAAAATGTGAAAAGCTGCAGTTAATGGAACCTTCTCAATTTTCAGACGGGAAACTGCAGCGCAGAGAAGGAACATGCCCGTGTTTTTGGTCACACAACTCTTTGGCACTTGACCCCCGGATCTCTTGACTCTTGCCCCTGGCTTGTTTGCTTCACTGAACTGTGCTAATGCAGAGGGGAGCTGATTCTGCAGGGACCAGCAGCCACACTTGCCTCCTCCATTTCAATCTTGGACTTGGCCAGAAGGAGCTTGCGGTCAAAGTCACGCTGCTTCTGCTCCCGCTCAGCCTCCAGGTCAGTCACCTGCTTCTGCAGGTCAGCCAGCTTCTGGCGCAGCTCAGTGATCTGGGTTGAGGCAGAGAGAGGAGGGAGTGTGTGAGTCACGGATGCAGAGCGCTTCCAGGGTGTGGGCAGGGCCTGGCTGCCCCAACTTCTCCTCTGAGCCATACTGGGGTGCAGCACAGCCACTCCCCAAGGTTCAACGCTGCTAAAGAGGCAGCGAGATGAAGACCAGGCATGCCCTGTGGGCGCGGCCAGAAACCCCACATTACCTTCTGCTCGTACTGCTGCTTCATAGACCGGAAATGCTGGTCCCACTGCTTGTTCACTTCGAGCAGCTGTGAGGAGAGACGAATTAGCGGGAGATAAGCCCAGAAGGAACAAGGAGCGCCAGCTCCTGCCCCATGTACACTAGCATCCTAAGGTGCACTCAGTGTGTGTGAATAGCTGCTACAGACACTGTCTCCCTCCCTCAGCTCTCAAAAACTCAATGTTGCTCGAAAGCCATTCACCTTTATCAACTGCTGCATTTTACCTTGCCAGGAAAGCAAGATTAACATTAAGATATGGAAACTACATCATTTCAGCGAATAATTATGCAATACACACACCTCTTTGGAGGACAGCCTGGGATTATGTGTTGAAATTTCACATTGTCATCATCTTTAACCCAATCATTGCACTCTGAAAAATTTAACCAACAGACGCACTTACACAAGTGCGCAAAAATATACATCAAGGCTAATCATCTCAGCAATATCTGTATTACAAAAAAATCCAGAGGCCAATCTAAGCACAGCAGATAGGTTAAGTAAATGATAGTTTAAACAGACAATGTGCAGCTACTAAGAAAACAAGAAAATAGGCAGCCAGGCACAGTGGCTCATGGCTATAATCCCAGCACTCTGGGAGGCCGAGGTGGGCCAATTGCTTGAGTCCAGGAGTTCGAGACCAGCCTGGAGAATATGGCAAAACCCCATCTCTATAAAAATATAAAAATTGGGCCGGGCGCGGTGGCTCACGCCTGTAATCCCAGCACTTTGGGAGGCCGAGGCGGGTGGATCACGAGGTCAAGAGATTGAGACCATCCTGGTCAACATGGTGAAACCCCATCTCTACTAAAAATACAAAAAAAATTAGCTGGGCATGGTGGCACATGCCTGTAATCCTAGCTACTCAGGAGGCTGAGGCAGGAGAATTGCCTGAACCCAGGAGGCGGAGGTTGCGGTGAGCCGAGATCGTACCACAACACCCCAGCCTGGGGTACAGGAAATAAACCTGTCTCAAAAAAATAAATAAATAAATAAATAAATAAATAAAAAATAAAAATAAAAATTAGCTGGGCATGGTGATATGCACCTATAGTCCCAGGAGGCTGAGGTGGCAGGGTCACCTGAACTTAGGAGGTGGAGGTTGCAGTGAGCCGAGATTGTGCCGCTGCACTCCAGCCTGGGCAAGCAAAGTAAGACCCTGACTAAAAAAAAAAAAAAAAAAAGATAAAAGAAAAAGAAAGAAAATAAGGCATCTACCACACTTCTTCAGTTCTAAAATGACATCATCCACCATACTCTTGATGCAACAATTCCTCAGGGAAGAAAAACAACCCTACATCATCAACTAAATAAAACAAAAGGAGGAGGTGTATCCCAATGTTGGGACTCAAAAAACGATACCCCCAAAGTGAAGGCCTAGGAGCAAAATTTTTCCCTGACCTTCTGCTTCTATCTTTCATCCCTCATTCTCCCCCCCGTAACCAGAGAAACTAGAATTCCTCTTCCCCAACGTGCAAAGAAACCAGAACCCTACTCCCCCAAAGCCAACCATCAAACCTAAAAATATTACTGTAACCTCTCCCATCTGTGAGTGTCAGAGCTGGCCGTAAAGAAATTCTCTGACCTACTCTGTCTAATACTAGGTCATAAAATCCTAGGGCCAGAGGGTGTCTTGTTCTATACCTGGGTGGATGGAATACTATGCAGAGAGGTCAAGAAGAATCCAGACAGGCAGACAGGCCTTCCTGGTTTCCCCATTCAGACTATTACCAGCAGATTATTCCCTTCTATCCAATCACCTTTCTACACACTGTCCACACTTCATCCAATCTAAAGCACAATAATGGACAGTTTTCCCTGTACCTCTGGGCCTTCATGCTGACGGTTCCCATGCCATGTAAACTTTGATTAGATAAATCTGTTATGCTTTTCTCTTGTTAAACTGTCTTTTGTTATGGGAGTATTGGCCCTGACTCTTAAGATGGGTCATAAGGATTCACATCAATTTCAAAAACATTGTATGTGATAAAAAAATTACTAAGAATTGAAGGAACATAGTATATCTTATAGATATGAATAGATACCCTCAAAGACAGTTAATTGTTTTTTTTTGGAGGCAGGCCCAGGCCGGAATGCAGTGGTGTGATCATGGCTCACTGCAGTCTTCTGAGGTCAAGTGATCCTCCCACCTCAGCCTCCCAAGTACCCGGGACTACAGCTATGTACTACCACAGCCAGCTAATTTATTTTTTATAGAGACAGGGTTTTGTTATGTTGTCTGGGCTGGTCTCAAACTCCTGGATACAAGTGATCTTCCTGCATCAGCCTCCCAAAGTGCTGGGATTACAGGAATGAGCCACCATGCCTGACCCAGTGAATTTTTTAAAAAACAAAAGAAAAAATAATCTCTAAAACAGTATATGTATACACACACACACATACACACATACACATATATGTATACTTTCATTTTTCTACTTTGGAAAAAAACAGGATTATGCAATGAACTATAATTAGGTATGGTTTTCTCTAGGAGGTGGTATTCTTGATCTTTTTGTAATGAGCATTATATCACTTTTGAAATCAGAAAAAAACAACGCTTATAACAATACAAAAAGAAATAAAACTAATATACACATAAGAACTAATATGCACATAAAGTTTTTATGCACAAATAAAACTAATATGCACAAAAGAAGCTTTCAAATGTATGGGAGGACGAGGGTGGGCAGGCAGGCTCGGGGTTCTAGAGAAGAACCTGGGCTGTGCAGAGAAGGGCTAGACGGAACAGACAGAACAGTGTCTACCAAAAAGGAGCTGCACGGAGACCCCGGGTCTGGAAAGACTGGACTAGACTGGGGGTGTGAGGCAAGGGAGGAACACACATTAGATCCATGGGAAAAGGCAGAATGAATTGCGGCACAAGGACGCTGCTGTGTGACTTCTCTTTCTTGGCAGCAGAGAGAAACTAAGAGTCTCTTACAAAACAGCTCCTGAACCTTAGAGGTGCTGGGGGGTGGGAGGAGCAGCATTTAAACTACCTAAGGCGCTGGCCATCACCTTAATGAAGTTTAGGAAGCCACCCAGTATTCTGTGGCAGGTTTCAGCTGCTGGCTGGTCTTTTTCATTCCTGCCTATGAAAATTCTTGAAATGGGAGTCCAGAATATCTGAAAAGTAGCTACATGAATAGAGGTAGCTTGTGTGTGTGTGTTTTGAGAAGGAGTCTTGCTGGAGTGCAGTGGCATGATCTTGGCTCACTGCAATCTCCACCTCCCAGGGTCAAGCAATTCTCCCTGCCTCAGCTGGGATTACAGGCATGCACCACCATGCCCAGCTAATTTTTTTGTACTTTTAGTAGAGATGTGGTTTCGCCATATTGGCCAGGCTGGTCCCGAACCCCTGACCTCAGGTGATCCACTGGCCTTGGCATCCCAATGTGCTGGGATTATAGGCATGAGCCACCACACTCAGCTGTGGTAGATTTTAAAGTTAAAAATTTTGACAGTAAATTCATGGAGCCTCCGGGCTAGTCGGAAGTGGCCTTAATCCCCTTCTCCCATGATGGGCCCTCCCTAAACCAGCTTTAGAGGGTCCCTCCACTCCCATCATTGATGATGAAACTTGCCTAACTTATTACAACCTCTTTCCACCATCCGAGGTCTACCATGGGAGCCTGCCTAAACTCTACACCCAACAATTTTAGGCCATGACCCAAATGCCACTTCCTCAGAGTGACCACTGTAGACAGAGGGACTGATCGAGAGAGGACAGTACAGGGCAAGGAGGCAGACTTCATCCGTGGGCAGATGGGTTCATGGTCCCATGCCGCCTCCTCATCGTGACGTGAGGCCTGCATGACTCAGGAGGCCAGAGCAAGCCTTTGTGCTGCTAGTCCTGGGAGGGAGGAAGGATCCTCCCACCGCCACCACCACCCCAGCCACCTACCTCACTGCGCTGCTGCTCCAGCATCTTCACCTTCTTCTCAGCTGCACCCAAGGCCCCCACCTCTGGGACCTTACCTGCCATCACACTAGCCTGGGGAGAAGCACAGAGGAGCCTTCACCAAAAACTCAATACAATTTATCTCACCCACTGCGTACCCTCTAAGGCCCGTCACCCCTGTGGCCCCAGCCCTCGGTCTCCTATCTCCCTACTCCTCCCACCTGCCAGGACACCACTAACCATCCCAGTCATGACTGGTCCCCTTCTGGAAGCCCACAGATGATGATCCTTCCTCCTTGACTCAGAGTGGCTGCTAGGCCCTCTCCTGCTCCCCTCCCACGGCCACTCTCCCTGCTTAGGCACGACCTCTAAGGTACTCCCAGCCACTCTGCTCACCCGCTATACACATCAGCCAAAAACTCTCTGGCCTGGAAGGTAAGAAATTTGAGGTATAGATAGATATAGATATATTCATTCTACAAAATATACATGTTTGATAAAACTTTTATAGAAGTTAAAGTGATATGCTTATTTAAAAACATTTTTAGAAAGATGCAGAAATAAAGATCTGAGTATATGCATGATTAGTACAAATAGGTATTTCCTATCTCTGTCCTCTGTCCAGACTAAAGCAGAGTCATCCAGCAGCACTGAGTACACCCAGTGCTCAGCGGCTAAATGCCATTTTCTTTCTATTAAAAAGAAACAGGGCTGCTTTGAGAAGTGGTTCATTCCAGGTCTGGAACAGATAAAATATAAGGTGAGTTTGGTGCATCTTACAGTGCCAGAAAGTAAGGCAGTATTCAGATGAATCACAGTAATAATAATAGCAATGAAAGGGGCATGTCAAAGGGCACAGGCAACAACCTGAAAAAACTCCTATGGCCAAAACAGAAACACTCAGAACAGCAAAATACATCACAACAGTATTGCATTATAAGTTACAGCAGGAAATAAATATTCTTGAGTTCATACTGATAGAACAAAACAACTGAATAAATAAATAAATTGGGGGAGAAGGGACAGCTCTTCCTTACAAAAGAATTCCGATTAATAAGTGTAGGAGGAATGAAGAAAACACTAAATCACCATTAGATTACTACAGCAATTGCTGCGGCAGGTGGAGATCCACCAACAGACACTAAAATTAGTGAGTGAAAGTTTAAGAAAAAATAGAGTATTGACATAGTTTCAAAGTTTCTCCTGAAAAATAAACATTTATTAATTACAAAGGGAAAATTGGTCACTTGATGGCAAAGAAACTTGAAAGACAGCACCCTGACCAAGTGATGAAGGTTAACAGTAGTAAAACATTGGCGTCATGTACCCCTGATATGCTGGCTTGAGAAATGTTCTGCACACTCGGACGTACACAGAACGTCACCTGTGTGAGATCCCTGCCAAAACACATCACCTCAATCTCATCATGAGATCCAATCACTTGGGAGGCATCAATCATGACAGCAAATAAGTCGAAACTGAAGAACATTCTACAAAATAACTGGCCACTATATAACCCAAAAGAGTCAAGGTCATGAAAAGCAAGGAACAACTAGGAACTGTCGCAGACTAGAGGAAAAGAGGGAGGGAAGACAACTGAATGCAATGTGGGATCCCAGACTCCATGCCGGCACAGAGACGGGACAGAGTGCAAATCTGATGAAATCTGAGTAAAGTCTATAGTTTACTAAGCAGTACATACCGTTAATTCCTAGTTTTGATCATTCAACCATAGTTCTCTAAGATGTTACCGTTAGGGGGGAGATAGAGGAGGGGAATAGGGGAACTCTCTGGACTATTTTTGGAACTCTTCTGTAAGTTTAGTTATAGCAAAATAAAAAGGTTTAAAAAAAATAGCAAGTGCTTGGGTGAAACAGCAGACAAAGCCAGCAGTCCAGAGGGTGTGTGTCAACTCTATCTCCAAGCCCCTCGGTGATGGACACCAAGACCCTTGCCTTCTCTGGGCTTCAGTACAATAAGAAGCTCAAACAGAAGAGGGTCTCCGCAGTCCCCATCTGGACTTCTGACATCATCCGTCCGCCATCATCCTGGAGTCAGATTCTCTCTATTCTCAGTGTTCTCTTTCCCTTCTCATCGCACCCCGCAGAGGCTTCGGGTAGAGCTGAAGGCAGAGCTTGCCCCCTACAGGCTCAGGCCTGTAATCACACCTTAGCACCCGGGAGCAAGGTGAGGGGGAGCCCTTCAGGTAAGGTCACCCTCTTTGAGAAAGGGAACAGAGAGGCCCGACCCCTTGAAATCTGTGGCATCCTGGATGGGAGCTGTGCTTAGCAAAAAGGAAAATGGGTTACTGGGGAAGGAGGAAGAAGGTGGAATCTACGGTGGTGTACCCTGAACCTCCGAGAGGGAGACAGGAGTCCACGTGGAGTCAGCAGAGCTGGCTGCTGGCACCAAATCTGCCCTAAAGAGCAACAGCTTAATGTTCACTGTTGATGACGCTAAACTTACTTCACATGCATTGCATCACTGAATCCTCACAACCACCCCTTGAGGTAGGTGTTACTATCTTCATTTTACAGAGGAAAGTGAGGCCTAGGAGTCTTGTGTGACTTATCCAAGGTTGCAGCGCTGGTGAAAGGTGGAGCCAGTATTCCACCTGCATGCGACTCCAAGGCACATCCTTCACCCCTCTGTAACACAGGCCTCTTATGGGACAGGTGATCCTGGGGCGCAAGGGCAAGTCACTCCCACTCTCTCATAGGGCAGTAAGAGCATCTGGCTTGGGGCTCTCAAGGAAAATGACTTGAGATTAAAGGGCACAGGAAAAGTAAAGAGACCGGCCCAGGGAATTCCACACCTGAGCAGCTCAGGGAACCCAGGGGAAAGCAGCCGAGCGCACAAGTCCCTTCCACGGGAGGGCAGACAAGGCAGGATCTGATTTGGGGAATAAAGGAAAGAAAAGAGGTTCTCCATGGTCTGGGATTCAGAAGACCAGGGAAGAGCAGACTTTCGCCATTTATCAGCATGTCTCCCTGGCCATACCCTACGTCTGCCTGACAGCAGGTCACACAGAAATCCTGATTATATGATGTTACATGGCCTCTCCAAATCTATGGCCATAGCTATAGAATGGAATAACAGTCCCAGCCTTTCCTACTCTATATGTAGAGATGAGGCCCGAATAAGATAATAGATTTGCAAGTCCTAGGGTAATAACTACTATTGCATAGGTGTAGAGTGGGTTAAAAACACTGAGCCCCTCTGTTCAGCTATTAAACCCCATTAAAGGGGGAAATAAAAACATGTTGGCAAAGAGGTGGGACTCAGCTCTGCAGCAAGGGGAATGGTAATGACTGGGGAAGGGGCGCAGAGTCTGCTCCTGCTTGGGACCTGGATGTGGCCAGGCTGGGACTAGAGGAGGATGGGGGAATGGGCCAGCTCTGCAGCATCACCAGACTACACTGACGCTGGCCAGCTCCCTCCCCTCTCCACTTTAGAGGCTCCGGAGACAGAATCCCAGGAGCTTAGCAGAATCCAAGGGGGCTTGCTCAACCGAGCAACCTAATTCTGCCAGGAATATCAAAGATGTTAAACTGACTTTTGGGAGCCACTCTCTAAGACGGACCTTGACAAACTGGAATGTATTTAGGGAACGCACCCAGACTGAGCAAAGGACTCAACATCACCTATGAGCAATGGCTGAAGGAACTAGAGCTATTAAGCCAGGAGGAGAGAAGGCTTGTGTGGCCCACAGAGCTACAGGGACTGCCAGCAGCCTCTAAGCATAGAGGTCAGGCCAAGTGAAGAAAAAGGCATGTAACAGCTAGAACCTTCTACAGTGGCACTGGCTGCAGGAGGGAGTAACCTCACTGTCACTGGAGGTAGTAAGCAGAGGCTGGGTACCAGCAACCAAGAATGCTGCAGAAGGAATTTCTGACCACCTACCTGCTGCTGTCTGGCCACCATCTTCTTGCCTGCCCCTTCCATCTTCGGTGAGCCTGGCCGCCCAGAGGCTCCCTCTTTGTTACCACTGCTCATCAACAACTTCTTGAGCTCCAAATTTTCCTCCCTGGGATGGAGGTAAACAGACAAGTCACAATGCTGGCCCTGAGTTCAGAAACCTACAGGGCTTCTTAATGCTCACTATCACATGAGTTGCAGCTAAGCCCCAGGGAGTACTGCAGGATCCTGAAACCTGCCCTCAGGGAAAGCCAAAAAGGGCATCCTTCAGCCACCTTGCTCTCAACCTGTGGGCTTCCCTGGAGGTCTCTGACTGTCCGTGACAGGGTTTCCCCAGCTGTGGAATATCTATGCAGGCAAGACCTTCAGAATGTATCCAAACACTGCATTAAATAGCCCTGGATCACATTCTAGTGAGAAAGTGATGCCCTTTCCAATTATCTTCACATTTCCTATGTAGAGCATGCAGACGATGTGAGCTTGGTGCTAACAGGTCCTGGCACACCTCCAGTTACTCCCCAGTCTCCCTCGTTAACACAGAAATGCAGGCTGCAGGCTCAGTGCCTTCAATGTGCAATCATACTTAGCCTGAATTTATTAACATCCTTTCATTTTCATTGTATTTAGTGTTATCTTCTATTCATCATAGGTAATGCTTTTTTCCATTTACTCTAGTTAAAGTTTCCTTTATAACTTTAAGTGAAAATATGAATCGAATTCAAGAAAAATCCTAAGTAGCTAATAAGGCAGGTGATAGAGGATAACGTAAAATCGGTAATGTGGATTCAGGTCTGACTAAAATGTTTCTTTCTTTTTTTGAGACAGGGTCTCGTTCTGTCGCCCAGGCTGGAGTACAGTGGCCGATCTCGGTTCATCACAGCCTTGACTGCTCCTACTCAAGTAATCCTCCCACCTCAGCCACCCTCCACCTCCCGGACGACACACCCAACCCTCCCGAGTAGTTGGGACTACAGACACGCACCACCACACCTGGCTGATTTTTTTTTTGGTATTTTTTGTTGCGGCTGGGGGCGGGGTGGTGATATATTTTGTCAGGCTGGTCTCAAACTCATGGATTCAAAGCAATCCTCCTGCCTCAGCCTCCCAAAGTGCTAGGATTACAGGTGTGAGCCGCCATACCCAGCCACCATTTCTTTTTTTTTTTTTTTTTTTTTTTTTTTTCTTTTTACAAACCCTTTTGTGGAGGGCTGACTTTCAATAGATCGTAGCGAGGGAGCTGCTCTGCTACGTACGAAACCCCGACCCAGAAGCAGGTCGTCTACGAATGGATTAGCGCCAGGTTCCCCACGAACGTGCGTTGCGTGACAGGCGAGGGGGCGGCCGCCTTTCTGGCCGCACCCCGTTTCCCAGGACGAGGGACACTCCGCACCGGACCCCGGTCGAGGCGCGCGGCAGGGGACACGCCCCGCGCGGGGCGGAGCGGCCCGCCAACCCAGCCACCATTTCTTTAGGTTTCATTTGCCAGCTGAGTTTCCACTTGAAAAAACAAAAAGTGACTTTCCCAAGGGCACACAGCAGAGACTTGCATTCTTGCCTTCTAATCCATGAGCCTTTTCCCCAGCTTCGGTTTTTGAATCCGTGGATTGGGGGTATAAAAACCCCAAAACTGCATGATTGGCCATCCAAAAGTAAATAAATTACACACTGATCCAAAGTAGCCAATGGCTCAGTAGTTAAACATTACTTCTGTGGCCATATTTAAGAAGTTTATATTCCTTCTCTTTCTGTTGATTCTAATTAGAAACATGAGGGGGTGGGAAACAGAGTGGCGAGTGCTGTCTCTAACACAGGCCTTTCCCCTAACGACCTGAGCCCAGCTGGCACCCAACAGATGACTCATCACTCAAATTGTCCAGGACCACAGTGCAGGCAGGAATTGCGGCCACTCTAGAGGATAGAGAGCCAAGAGGCCCAAGCTCTTGTTGTAAGACTACAAGCAAGTCCCTGCCTCTCCATGGGCCCCAGTTTCCCCTCTGCACAGTGCAAGGTCTGCCCTGAATGATGCCAAAGGCTCGTCAAACTCTGACAGTCAAGATCAGTGTTTCCCAAGGTGTGATCCTGGGCCTACCTCCATCATAATCACAGAGACTCCTGCTGAAATGCAGGCTGCTAGGTCTTGCCTAAGGCCTGTCAATTCAGAATCTTGCAAAGGAAGGAAGGGCAGACGTATAAACTTATAATGTCTTTCCCTGACCCTCAACCCTCAGTTAAGTCCAGGCCCAGTAGTCCACAGGAGGAGCTCTGATGTTTTCAGGAAGACAGAGCAGGTCAGGATGGTGACCAGCAGGGGACAGCAAAGTCTTGAGTGCTCTGGCACAGCCAGTTCACAGTAACAGGGGAGGGAGGCAAGTGCGGGAGGAGGAAGTACAATCTATGCCGCCCTTCTTCTGAAGCTCTCAAGGCACTTCTATATACTTCCCAAGGTGACAGAAGGGCCAGAGAGAAAATACCGAAGGAGCCAAGGAGAAGGATCAAGAGACGTAACCTCGAAACAGGGCTCTGGGCACAGGGCCTCAGAGCCACGGTCTGAGATCAATGGCTGTGCACCAGGACCCAGAAATCAGTGCTGTGTATCAGCCCCTCCTCCTGCAGCCCCGGCTCCTCACCCCTGCACTTACCGCAACCTCTCAGCAGCCTGATCCCGCTGTTCCAGGCCCTCATCCAGCTTGGCCTTCAGAGCCTCGTTCTCCTTCCGAAGCTGCTCACACAGGGTCTGCGGGGCAAGGGAGCAGACAGAGTGAGGGGAAGGAGGGGTGCCTCCCAGGTGCAGGCTGAGCTAGAGGACAGGGAGGGGCTGTAGCCACCCCAGGGCCCAACTCCTTATCCCCTTTGCCTGGCCTCGCCCAATCCTTCTCCAAGGAGCTAAGCCACTTGGCCACCCACGTGTCCTCTCCCTTGGGAGCCAACTACGGGGAAGCCTGACCAAGTATCAGCTGTGGGGCCTTCTGCACCTCCCAGCCAGACAGCCCCATCCCTTCGCCTCCTCTGTCCCTGCTCCTACTGCTGAGACCCCTCTTCCCCACCAGCCTCCCCGGCTGACTTCTACTCTTCTTTGAAGTCTTAGCTTAAATCCCATCTCCTCACAGAAGTCCTCCCTGACTCCCCCATCCAGTTAAAGTAGGCCACCTCCCTTATCCTCGCTCACAGCCTTTATGCTGCTCAGCACCTGTGACGGATAAAGCTAAAGAACTGTGTGTGCTATTTTCTTAGCATCTACCCCCCTGACTCCCAACTAATTCCTGAGCTCCCGGAGGGCTAGGACCCTCCTCATTATCTTGTTCACTGCCAGATCCCCAACCCCCAAGGCTCAAAGTTGGTGGAAGGAACAACATGACTGGCCAGCCGGCCAAATGACCACATGGACAAATGAGCAGGAAAGTCCTGGAGGGGCTGAAAGGCTCATCAATTTGCGGGTGTGAGAGGTACCCAGTGCCACCAAGGGGAAAGTCAGAAGATGGGGCATTCAGTCAGGACCTCACTATGCCCTCACACTCTCACGGTGTGGCTGTGACACTTGGTTCCCTCCTCTACAAAAGGACAACTGTTTCTTTCTTTCCTTCTTTCTCCTGCCTCAGCCTCCTGAGTAGGTGAGATTACAGGCATGCACCACCACGCCTGGCTAATTTTTGTATTTTTAGTAGAGACCAGCCATGTTGGCCAGGCTGGTCTTAAACTCCTGACCTCGCCGGGCGCAGTGGCTCAAGCCTGTAATCCCAGCACTTTGGGAGGCCGAGGCGGGTGGATCACGAGGTCAAGAGATCGAGACCATCCTGGTCAACACGGTGAAACCCCGTCTCTACTAAAAATACAAGAAATTAGCTGGGCATGGTGGCGCGTGCCTGTAATCCCAGCTACTCAGGAGGCTGAGGCAGGAGAATTGCCTGAACCCAGGAGGCGGAGGTTGCGGTGAGCCGAGATCGCGCCATTGCACTCCAGCCTGGGTAACAAGAGCGAAACTCCGTCCCAAAAAAAAAAAACAAAAAAAAAAAACCTCCTGACCTCAAGTGATCTGCCCCCCTCAGTCTCCCAAAGTGCTGGGATTACAGGCCACCGTGCCCAGTCCACGGACAACTGTTTCCTCTCTGTCCTCTACAGGGCTGCTGAGAAGAACAGATGAGACAGTGAAAGCGGAAGCGTCCGTGCGCCGTCAGCCACTTGCTTATGTGTGGGGGCTCATGTTGGAAGGACTATGAACTGGGGGCATGGAAGAGGGGCTGCCAGACTCAGGACCTCACAGGCTGGGGGGCAGGGAAGGTGCTGACTGGCAACGCTAACATACAGTGTCAGCACAGAGTTGCTCAATCTTTCCACAAACCCTCACTGAGCACCTGACCTGTGCCAGGTACATGGCTGGGTGCTTCTCCATACACCATCTCACTGGTGCCTCGCAACTGCCCAAAAGCTGAGTAACTAATCTCTATGTTAAAGGTGGGAAAACCAGGTAAAATGATACAGTCTAACAGGTGCACAGCTGCTAAGACTCACCAGTGGGAATAAACTTCATCTGGCAGACCCTACCCTGGTGTCTCCTTCCCCTGTGATGAAAGATCAGAGAAGGGAGAGCGATGGTGCCCAAAGGAGGAGACAGCCTTTGAACTGCACCAAGACCAGGCCTGGTCTGCTCCCTTCCATCTCCCAGGCCTGTTGCAGGTGGATGCAATCATGTGACGAGTTCTGGCCAAGAAAAGAGGTGTGGAAGGGACAAGCATCACTCCTGGGCTGGCCTATGCACGATTCTCTAGTCTCTTTCTCCTGGTAGCAGGGGCTGATATGGATGTCTTGTTTTCTAAAGGGCACTGGAAGGTGGGATCCCTGTCTCCCTGGGACTCTAAGGAACAGCATAGAGCAGAAACAAACCCCTGCCACACAGGATAGGAGGGAAAACTTCTGTTGTGTAATCCACGGAGATTTCAGAGTTGTTTCTTTTCTGACTCACCCAGGAGAGTCTTGGGAAGGCTGAATGGAGACACAGCCTTAAATGGAGGTGGTTGGACAATGAGGGAGATGAGGGAAGCTTAGAAAACAGAAAACTGGCTGGGCGCGGTGGCTCACGCCTGTAATCCCAGCACTTTGGGAGGCTGAGGCGGGTGGATCACGAGGTCAAGAGATTGAGATCATTCTGGCCAACATGGTGAAACCCTGTCTCTACTAAAAAATACAAAAATTAGCTGGGCGTGGTGGTGAGCGCCTATAGTCCCAGCTACTCGGGAGGCTGAGGCAGGAGAATTGCTTGAACCCTGGAGGCGGAGGTTGCAGTGAGCGGAGATCGTGCCACTGCACTCCAGCCTGATGACAGAGCGAGACTCCGTCTCAAAAACAAACAAACAAACAAACAAAAAAAGAAAACAGGCCGGGCGTGGTGGCTCACACCTGTAATCCCAGCACTTTGGGAGGCCGAGGTGGGTGGATCACCTGAGGTCAGGGGTTCAAGACCAGCCTGGCCATCGTGGTGAAATCCCATCTTAAAAAAGAAAAATAAGGAAAACAAAACTGGCTGGGCGTGGTGGTTCACACCAGTAATCCCAGGACTTTGGGAAGCTGAGGCAGGAAGATCACTTGAGCCCCAGGGTTTCAATACCAGCCTGGGCAACATGGCAAAACCCTGTCTCTACTAAAAATACCAAAAAATTGGCTAAGCGTAATGGCACATGTGGGTAGTCTCAGCTATTCAGGGAACTGAGGTGGGAGGATTGCTTGAGCACAGGAGGTCAAGTATACAGTGAGCTGTGGTCACACCACTACACTCTAGCCTGGGCGATGGGGCAAGATCTTGTCCCCCACCACCCCTCAAAAAACAGAAATCAGAAATTATTGTGTTGAGTCCGTTCAATAGCTAGCAGAGAGCCTTATGCTATACCTGATCTTGAACATGTTTGTTTAGTGAACAAAAAACAAATCAACAAATGAATGAGGAGGAGCTGGATTAATAAACCTCCACCCACGCAGTATAAATACCCAAGATGCCACATCTCTGGGCGAGGCCTCCAGGGAACAGAATGGCCTGCTCCTGGTCCCTAAGGGAATGCCAGGACAAGGCCTCGCTTATTATTCTACCCTTCCAGTCTAGAGGGCTGTTTCCCTGGCGTCTCTGGGCCAATGCCCTGGGTGCAAACTGGCCAATGGATAGAATCATCAGAAGTCATAAAGGTCATCATCTTCCATCCAAGGTGCTACAAGAGCTAACCTATGAGTTCATTTGTTCATGTATTCTTTTGTTCATTCATTCATTCACAAATGTGTATGAAGTGCCAGGAACTGGGATGCAACAGTGAATACAACAAACATGGTACCCCCCCACCTCAAGCTTCCATTCTAGCAGAGAGTATAAGAAAAAAAGGGAATAATTTTATTTTATTAAATAAATAAAATGTTTAATAGCTATGGTAAGAGCTAAAAAGGAAATAAATAGGGAGGGGCCTGAAATAAAAAGTAACAGAGATTGGCAGAACCCCTTTTAGGGGATCTGGGATCTATCCCCATTTCAAAGCTGAAAAGTGGATGCACAAAGTGCTCTCACCCCAGGCACCTTCCCACCCTGCCCATGGCCCAGGACCCGTGCCAGGCTCACCTTGCCACGGTTCAGCCTGGACACCCCGAAGCCTCCCTGACATTTTAAAGGGGTTCCCCTCTCTCAGCCTGGCCCTCCAGGTCTCTGCCTCTCATTCAGCCTCATCTCCCGACACACCCTTCCCCTCCAGGTGGGATGGGTGACCTGCCTGCTCCTCTGCCCCCACACCTTTCCTCACACTGCTTCTCCAACCTGGATGCCCTTCCTGCTCTTGGCAACCCAAGGTCACGCAAGGGGGACTCCCCCTTCTGCCACCAGTAGGGCACATGAGTGCCTGCTGACAGGAATGAGACCATGGACCAGAGACTGGCCCAGGAGGAGGATCTGCAGGGAGTAAGGAGACTTCGTCATGGCTCTGTCACTAGGGTGGCAGGCGCTCAGATCGCGAGCGGTCCCTCAGAAGCCTCCGTTTTGCCATCTTTAGAATGGTCACCAATTATAACTGAATCCTTCCCTGCTTCCAAAGCCCGCAAGGCTAAGATACCCTGCCCAGTGTGGATGCCCGTCATGAACTCCTAATGGGGACCTCTCTTCCAGCACGGACTATGTTCTGGACTGCACTGGGTGCTTCATGTATAAGGCCTCATTGAATGCAGCAATGATGCCAGGTGTGGTGGCTCACGCCTGTAATCCAAGCACTTTCGAGGCCAAGGCGGGCGGATCACCTGAGGTCGGGAGTTCAAGACCAGCCTGACCAACATGATGAAACCCTGTCTTTATTTAAAAAAAAAAGAATGCAGCAATGAAGCACTCCTGGCTCATGTTACTGATAGGAACAGTGGGGAAAACAGGGGATAAAAGTGACTTGTCCAAGGTCACACAGCAATAAAGAGTCACTATTGGAACAAAGGACCATTTAACTCCAAGGTCTGGCCTGGCCTAGCAAGGAAATCTAACCATTCCCCACAGCACGAGGAGGCTTTTAAAAGAAATTCAATAGGGGAGGCAGGATGGGATGGTGGTCAAGAGTATGGGTTTGTAATACAACAGATCGAGGTTCCAATCCCAACTTCACCGTTTACCAGCTAGGTAACCTTGGGCAAAATAAGGGTTGCTTCCCCACCTGTGAAGTGGCAATAATGAGGGTGCCTATCCTAGGGGGAAAGGGGCATAACAAAAGGAGCTGACCTTTGTTCCCTCCCTTTCCCTCCCCCAACCCTGCACATGAGAAATAAAGGCAGGATTGCTAGGGGTATCCCCAACCGTGACACTTGCATTGCCCATCCTGTATTTCCCCATTTCCTTCCTCTTCCTCATCCCGCCCCACAACTTCCTTATCCTGTTTATCACCCTGAACAAAAAGCCCAAAGTCTGCACACGACACAGCCCTCAGAAGTCCCCATGGTACCCGTAGATTCCCAGGAGCAGGAAGGTGGGAAGAGCTCGGGGGGGAAAAGCACACCCGCCTGTCTTTGGCCGCCATCCCAACATGCCTCACCTGCAGGATGGAGGTGCGCTGCTCATTCTTGTGCACCTTGGACGCCAGCCGGTTGAACTCCAGGGCCATGCGGCCCAGGTGGGTGAAGAGCTGGCCATGGTCCGGCTCCTCCGCGCACACGCTCAGCGTGGTCTCCAGGCGCTGCAGGTGCAGCATCAGGTTACCATCCTCGTGGGGCAGGGGGCCCAGCGCCTGGAGAGGGAAAGGGCACCCAATAGTGACTCTTCATTCACCAAGGCCTGAATAGGCGCTGCCAGTCCATTCTCCCTCTGCTTCCTCATTTCTCATGACTCAGTTTCCCCCTGTGACCCCAGCTCAGCCCAGGGAAATTCTCCAGTTATGCAGGTTCCCTGTCTGGAGCTGACTCATAGGGCGGGGCCCAGGACTCACAGGCCACTGGTGGCTCCATGGCAGCGCGGCCACCATCCTCCCACACACTGGGCCTTGCAGAGTGCCTGACGGTAAGTCACTAGTCTGCTGGGTCTCAGCATCCTCATTTACCAAATGTTCGCACAACCCTTCCCTCCCTTCAACCTCCAGGGTTCTTAGGAGGATGAATTGACCCTTGAGAGCAGCAAGCCCAGAGAAGGGGCATCACTGTACAGTCAGCCCTCCATATCCGTGGGTTCCACATCCATGGATTCAACCAACTGCAGATCAAAAATATTCTAAAAAGACAAATTGTGCTGAACATGTATACAGACTTTTTTCTTGTCATTATTCCCTAAACAACAGAGTATAACAAAATTTACATAGCATTTACATTGTATTAGGTATTGTAAGTCACCTAGACATGATTTAAAGTATACAGGAGGATATACATACATTATAGGCAAATACTATGCCATTTTACAAAAGGGGCTTGAGCATCCCTGGATTTTGGTATCCTCAGGGAGTTCTGGAACCACCCTCCCATGGATACCCAGGGACACCTGCATATATGTCCTGCAATCTCCACCCCCCGGGTTCAAGCAATTCTCCTGCCTCAGCCCTGAGTAGCTGGGATTATAGGCGTGCACCACTACACCTGGCTAATTTTTATATTTTTAGTAGAGACAGGGTTTCACCATGTTGGCCAGGCTGGCCTCAAACTCCTGACCTCAGGCGATCCACCCACCTCGACCACCCAAAGGGCTGACATTACAGGCGTGAGCCACCATACCCAGGCTACATGTGTGTCTTCTGGGGAATGGTCCAAGCATTCATCAGCTTCTGAAGACCCAAGACTCAAAACAGGTCAAGAACCACAACTCTAGATGTTTCAGAAAATCCCAAACTAGTACAATATCTAAGAGATAAAGCGCATTGTGGGCAAGATAGTTGACTCATTCTCTCTAGTCTATCTGAAATACTCCTATCAAAGATTGCCTTTGTTACGCCAACTCCACACCCAAGGACCTACAGTGTTACCCTACTGCAGATAGCACTGGACTCAGCTCCCCTGCTGGGCATCTAAGGCCCTACAGCCGCAGGTCCCATCTGCACCAGTGTCCAGTTGGGCTCCCCACTTCACCCTGCCTGAACCCACACACACCAGGTCTGGTGCCTCTCCAGGCTTCAACCCCATGTGTCCTCTCTGCCTCGGCAAGTCCTGTTTATCCTTCCCACCCTGCCCTTGCCTCAGGTCCTCCAGCAGCCTCCCAGAAACAGTACAGGAATCACAGGACATCAGAGCTACATGCAGCCTCAGAGATCACGCCGGGAAACAAAGCTATGGGGAAGAGGAGCTTCCCAAAGTCACCCAGTAAGTCAGTGGCAGAGGTTTAACGAGAGCTGAGGCTTACAGACTCGCCATCCAGTGCTCTGCTGCACTGACCTCCCGCTTCTCTGAACTCTGGAGGGATAACAGTGACTACAACCACAACTCGGCATACCCTGAACACCTGTGTAATGGTGCCATATTTTTATTATTTTATTATTATTTATTTTTTTTATTTTTTTTTTTTTTTTTGAGACGGAGTTTCGCTCTTGTTACCCAGGCTGGAGTGCACTGGTGCAATCCCGGCTCACCGCAACCTCCGCCTCCTGGGTTCAGGCAATTCTCCTGCCTCAGCCTCCTGAGTAGCTGGGATTACAGGCACGCGCCACCATGCCCAGCTAATTTTTTGTATATTTTTTTAGTAGAGACGGGGCTTCACCATGTTGACCAGGATGGTCTCGATCTCTTGACCTTGTGATCCACCCGCCTCGGCCTCCCAAAGTGCTGGGATTACAGGCGTGAGCCACCCCGCCCGGCCTATTTTTTTTTTTTTTTTTTTTAAGAGGGAGTCTTTCCTTTGTCACCCGGGATGGAATGCAGTGATCTCTCCTCACTACAACCTCCGCCTCCTGGGTTCAAGTGATTCTCCTGCCTCAGCTTCCTGAGTAGCTGGGATTACAGGCATGCGCCACCACACCCAACTAACTTTGTATTTTTAGTGGAGACAGGGTTTCCCCATGTTGGTCAGGCTGGTCTCAAACTCGTGACCTCAAGTGATCCACCCGCCTCAGCCTCCCAAAGTGCTGGGATCACAGGCATGTGCCACCACCCCCGGCCATTAGTGCCATGTTCTAACAACAGGAAATGCTGCTGTTTCAACTCCGCATCCATTCCCTCACTGCCTCTTTCCACAAAGGAGCTGAGGTGGCAGATGCTGCTCTATTTAAGGCTCATGCAGTGCTTCCCATGCCTGCAACTTCTCCAGACTACAAGCTTCAGAGCACAGGGGGGCTGTGTTGTCTTGGCTCAGTGGCTCAGCAGAGACAGGCACCCCGTAGGGCTAATGAGGAACTCAAATGAGCTAAAGTTACCAGTCCAAAGTCATAGAGTAAAACACTTTCTGAGCAGGGGATCTTGCCTCCATGGCCAGTATCTCAGAGCCCTTGGGGACAGAACAGGACAAAGGAATGGAAGGTTCCAGGAGACAGAGCATAAAGAACCTTTCCAGAGCTGCCTGAGGCAGTGGTGAGCCTCTGAACACGGAAGGCATGCTAGTTAACTGGACAGCCTCCTGAGGGGGCCTTGCACTGGGAACTGACAGGTACATGGGGCAGCCAGTGAACACAAGCACATTTGTCAGCCAAACCTTTGTAAAACCTTTGTTTGCAAACTTTTGTGAAAGGAGGCAGCAGGGATCAACATATCAGTGAAAGGTGAGAGCACGTACTGCTTGTATAACGACAATTAAAGAAAAAAACTTAAAAGTAGGAAGGAAGGGAGAAGGTAGGAATTTAAGACCTTTGAAGAATCTTCCAGACTTTTCACAATGGTTCTCCAATAAGTCTGCCATTTTAAGAAAGAACAGAAGGAGATATAGTTAGGGCAAAGGCAGCCAGTGTTATAAGGTGTGGAATGAGGATGCTGGGCAGGCGCCTCAGAGCTGGACGAGTTTGTCTGTGTGCGTGTGTGCATGCATGCGCATAAGTGGAAAGTTTAACCTCCTACCTGTGTGCTCCCTAGAGGGAGCCAAGGAGGAACAAGAGCTTGCACAAAGAATAAATAACCTGTCTTCCAGGGCCCTGGGCTTTCCTGACCCTTCTTTCTCCCCGGGGTTGGGAGCCCACAGACCCAAAGCGCTGAGTCACAGTGTGCAGAGGTCCTGGCGCCTGGCAGAGAGCAACAGGGCTGGCGAAGAGCCCAGGCTTTCACAACGGTCAGGTGCCTGTACGCCCCAAGTCGGTAAAGTCACTAGCCCAGGAATTTGCATATGTGAGCGAGAAGTATCCCCTGCTCCTGCCCCTTGTGTGTCCCCAAGTAACTCCAGGGTACCCCAGGGATCTGAACAGGTCCTGTGCCTTTCACATGGTGGCAAGTGAAAAGACAGAAAGGGGGCTAGCAGGTCAAGCCTGGGGACCTGACCATCCACTCACCATTACATTGGCATGGCTGCTGCTCTCTGGCGGAGAATTCTGCTCCTCAGCAGAGACCACTTCAAATTCAGAGGAGGTGCCCTGTGCAGAAAGGGGGTTAGATGCTGCCAGAGAGAAAAACAGCTTGGCCCTCCTCTCTGCAGCTGTGAGCAGGAACGGGGACAAAATCTCTTCCCACGTTGAGTTTGCAGGGGATGTTACATATCATCTCACATGAGATCACAAAGCAGGGTTCCCGACAAGCCCATCATAACCCTCTGTGTAATATGAGGTCACATCCCCTCAATGGCCAATCCTCTTCTGTAGAAGAGAAGTAGGACTAGTTGACCTTGAACCAGCAGAACTTTAGGTCTGCATTTTTTTTAAGGCCTTGCACTTTTTAAATGCTTTCATGAGCTCCGTTATTTCTCAAAGTGACCCATGGAGTGGGTCAGAAGGTTATATCCTCTTTGGAACGATGAGGAAACTGCAGTATGTAGTTGATTAATGCAAAAGCAGGGACTAAGCCCAAGATTGCAGATCCAACATTCCTGCTATGGCCCCAGAGCTGTCTCTTACGCCCAGATGTCTCAGATGGCAGGTGTTACAGCCACCACCAAGCACAGTCCTGTGCTCGCCTTCCCAAGCCAGTCCTGGAGATCCCAGATGATTGAACTGATCTGAGAAAAGTCCCAGAGATGGTTCAACAAATTTGGAGACTTTTTCAGGATTCAACCAAATCCAGAGGGGCCAAAGAATCCCAGATTTTTTCACATCTTTCCATCATTCCAAGTAGAATTACTGGTCACTCAACCAGCCGAGAGATCAATGATCCAACCGAACCAGCCGTTAGCTCTGGGATCTGGGATTTCCATGTCATGTTAAACATGGTCTGCAAAGACAACTTCAGCCTCCCCACATCCCAGAAAGCGGCAGGACAGATGAGAGGAATCTGTGCTCAGCTTCCAGCTAAGCCTCATGGCCACCAAGAACTCACCTCTGGCTCTTGTCCCTGCCCTAGAAATTCCACCTCCTCCATCTACATTTTCCCCATTACCCATGTAACCTCAAAACAGGTCCTTCTTTATCTGCACCTGATCTGTAGGATAAAGATGCAGAACTATACAATCCCTTGTAGGAAACCAAGCAAAACTTTTCCAGCCAAATCTGTAGATGTTTTTTTTCTTCTTCTTCTTTTTTGTTTTTAATGAGAGAGTCTCACTCTGTCACCCAGGCTGGAGTGTGGTGGCATAAAGATGGCTTACTGCAGCCTTGACCTCCTGGGCTCAAGCGATCCTTCTGTCTCAGTCAGCCTCTCAAGTAGCTGGGATCACAGGCACACACCACCATAACCAAGTACTTTTTTTTTTTTTTTTTTTAAGAGAGGTGGAATCTCACTATCCTGCCCAGTCTGGTCTCAAACTCCTGGGTTCAAGCAATCCTCCTGCCTCAGCCTCCCAAAGTGCTGGGATTTTAGGCATGAGCCACTGTGCCCAGCCTGTAGAAGATGGTTTCTGAGCCTTCTTTAAGAATGTGAGCTCCATGTCACATCTGTCTGTTTTCCTAGCACTGTGCACAGTGATACTTAACAGTATGCAACTTAGTGAAAAGAATTCCTTGTACATACCAGGGTCTTCCTGATAAGTTTTAACTATGACCTTCATTTCAAAATGGGGAGGCTGAGGCCCCAGAGAGCCTGAGATGGACTTGCCCAGTATCACCCAGCAAGTCAGAACACAGTTTCTTGACCTCAACCCTCTTTCTTCATGTTCTTGTATCTGTCAGCAGGACCTTGAGGTCCAGGCAACCTCTACCCACGACTCCAAATAAAACTTACACTGGATGGAGGCTTCTGGGCTGGCGATGGCTTGTCACTGGGGCATGCAGGGGCAGTGGGAGGTGCTGTGACATTTGAGTCCTTTCCTAGGGAATCAAGAGAGCACAGATTAACTGACTGGGAAGGGGTGAAGCCCAGGTACCACTCTCTCAAAAACAGTCCTTGCCGAAGGAGTTCTCAGACAGGGTTCCCCACTTGAGTCTGGGAAAATGGGAGGTGGTCTCATTAGGGCCAGATAGTCTGAGAAAATGGCGTGCCCTGGAGTGACGGGGCAGAGACTGAGCAGAGAGACCATGCTCCCGAGGGTTACTGGGAAAATCCCAAGTTGCCTGCTGTTCCTCACTGCCCTGGACATGCTTCAATGATAGGGACAATTATTTATAATTAACAAAGTCTTTATGTAGCTATTATCCCAGCCATTCTCATAAAAGCCCTATATCCCCATTTTAAAGGTAAGGAAACTGAGGCCTGGGAAGGTCATCAACTTGCCCACAGTTACACGGCCAGCAACTGCAAACTCAGGACTGAGACCTGGCTCTCCCTCCCTCACTTCCTATGGTTCTTGCTGCAGGGAGCACCTCGAAGGTAGCTTCATTTCTCACTTTGGAGAGTGGAACTTGACACCAATCAGGAGCTCAGGAACACTGCTATATGGGCAAGCAGAGGCTGGAAACACCCACTGACTGCAGCACAGTGGACTCTGAGACCGTCACTTTCCTCCAATTGTCCATTCAGCAAATGCAACCACCCGCCCAATGGAAGGCTATCATATTGGCCTGGGCCAGATACCATACAGCAGAGCTGCAGCAGGACGCATTTGAGTCCAGTTGGGGTGGGGATCATTTCCATCCTGGTCCCAGACTTTGCCCTGGACTTGGAGACATGCCAGAGTAATGCACACACTCTGTATGCATTGGTAATGCCTCATGGGACTTCAACCCCGGGTCACAGTCACCCTTTAATGGGCAGCACACATAACCTTGTACCTAAAATACGCTGCAGCAGGCTAACAGGCAAGCCCAGCTTCTTCCCTGGGCCTCGGCTTTCCTAATTGGAAAATGGAAGCACAGGGCACGACCGGGGAGCTTTCAACTCATATGCCAGCTCCAAGTGACAGGGGGTAGCGGCTTGGAGTGCTATGCCTGGCACACAGCTGCTGATTGTTAAATATCTGTTCACTAAACATGTTGATAAGGACCCCAAGGCCACAGGGCTGCAATGCAGTCAACTGTTGTGATCTATTACTCATGTCTGCCGGGGCCTCGGGAGTGCTGAGTCATTGGCTATTTTTAACAAGATTGTTTTGAAGTCCCTTCCAAATCTGACCTTCTGGGGGATGCTGCAGCCAAAACACAAATGGAAAGGTAGCCTGTGGCCTAAGGATAAACCAGGGGATGTGGGTTTTGGCATAAGAAGGGAATTCACCGTGAAGGATCTGGGCAGTTTAGGGGACAGGGAGCATCAGAGGTACCCAGACTCGTCTTATACCTGTGAGCTCAGCCAGCGGGTCGAAAGAGCCCAAGGAGGGAGAAGGTGGTGGGAGCACCTCGTTGTCCTTCACTAGCTCCTCTGCCTTCTGCCGAAGCTTGGCTGCTTCCATCTGGGACTCTTCCAAAAGCTCCCCTAGAGGTATTGGGGAAGAAGGAGCAAAAGCATTTACTCAGCTCCAAGCGCTGCTTCTCCCCGCCCCAGGCCCCTAAACCTGCTGCTGCCTGGCTTCCAAGGCTCCAGTCCCTGGACTTCACTTCCACCATTGCTCTGTGGGCCTAGGGGGACAAACTCCATGCTGGCCCGTTGCAAGAAACAGGCTAGAGTAAGGAAGAGGGCCCAGCAATCGGGGACATAGGAGCAGAAGGATTCTATGAGAAACTCCTAGCCCCCTGCATTCTCTTTCTGCCCCATTCTCTTTCACACCCAGCCAGGGGACTCCACAGAAAGCGAGGGGCTCTCCACCCTACTACCATAGCACCCCAGGCTACCCACAGCCTGACCTGGGCAAAGGGCTGCCTGCAGGGTGGAGACCCTGGATAATTCCAACCAGCCCTCCAGGCCTCCATTTTCTTTCTCCCACAAGCAGAAGTGGAGAAACTTCACTCCTCCCTCCCCAGTCTACCATCCCAAGCAAGGGTCTGCCAAGCAAGGAGAAAGCATTTTAAAAATCAGAGAGCTCCCTCTAAAACTGAGACTAGAGAAGGGAGCAGCAAGGCAAAAGAAGAGTTTCAGGAGTTTGGAAGAAAGAGAGCCCCCTCTGGATGGGAAATCAGTGAAAGCCTTGCCTGGGAGAAGGGGGCGCAGCAACTGGGTGCTGATGCACAGGGACAGTCGGTTATGTGAAGGAAGGTGGCGGTGTCCTAAAGTGGGGACGGCTTAAGCAAGAGCCAGGAGAAGAGAACTAGGCGAAACCGCCTCCTTGCTTCAAGCCAAGCTCTGCTCCCTGTTCCAACACTGGGGACGCGTTCCCCAGTTGCTCTGGTGATGCTGGCTCTCCTCATCTCTCATGCCCAAGGAAGAGGAAGCCATTCTAATTTCATGTCCACCAACTGGGCCTTCTAGCCCCCTCTCTGTCAGTCCACACCTCCCTCTTGGACCCTCAAGGTCCCTGAGTCCTGTCATCCTCGTTTTGGGGTGCTGGGGAATCAGGGCTGGAATACTGTCACCATGCTACATGGTGCACAGAGACACATCTGTGAGGCAGGAGACACCAGCGCTGGGCCAGGAGGGACAGGGGATGACTTGGGCAGAGGCATATGCCAGCTGCATTCTCTACTGCTCATGGAGGGGCTGGCATCACAGGCTGCAGAGACGGGGGCTCGCAGGGAGGGGATGGGGTCTGCTTTACCTAACATCTTTATCCCTTGCATTTTTTCCTTCAGCCGGGAATTCTCCTTCACTAGGCGCTCAAAAGCTGCGGATGCCTCTCCTGAGGGCACGCTGCCCCCAGGGTCGTAGATCCGGTACGGTCCTCTCCCTTCCATGAGGGTAGCTCAGCCCCTGCCGTGGTGCCCGCCTAGCTGTAAGGACAACAGCAGCATATCAGCAGGCTGGCCAGGCCATGGGCATCCTTTGTGGGAAAGCTCTAGTCTGTCAATGCCCCAGAAGGCAGTCCCCCACTTTAGGCTGGTCTGACCATACTATAGCAAAGCAGAACAGTCACCTCCTTTGATTTGGACACTTTGCCTCTGTTAATACAACCTTAGAATGTGATTAGTTTCTTTTGGCAGCCTCAGTGCACTGCTGGCTTGTTTGGAATGGGAGTCCAAATAAACAGTAGGGTGCAATGTGGGATACAAAAAAGAACCTGGACACGGAATAAAAATATCCGAGTTCATGTCCTGTCTGTGAAGTCCAGAAGAACACGAATGTCATCTGTTTTGCCCATCATTGCATCCTCAGAGCCTAGCACAGTATTAGCTACGAATTTTGCCCAAAAAAGGCTTGCCCAATTCATGGCCTGGCCATTAATTTACTGTGGGATTGTGGGCAGTCCCTTCCCCTCTCTGAGGAAGGGAAATGAAAATCTTAAGTTAATTCAGTAATCTTTAAAGTGTAATGCTTGTGCCCTAAGGGATAAGCAAGTCAACCCAGTCCCAAGTCCCATTTATATGTATGTCATCTTCTTTAAAAAAAAAAAAAAAAAAAAAGAAAAGAAAAGAAAAAACACCCTGACTAATATTTAATGCACTGTCACCTTCCTCTGTGAGTCTCACATCATGCATGGTCTGTCCCTTGCAGTTCTAAGGAACAGGCAAATTTTTCATCAAACCACAGTCTATTTGAGCGGCAAGTTTTTTTTGTAATTAATCTGTTTAATTTCATCTGCTTTATTTCATTTGAAACCACTTGGAAAAGTGATTTTAGAATCCTAGCTCTGTGACTTAGCAGAGAAGCTCTCTGTCCATTCACTCATCCATTCAACAATTACTTATTGAGCATCTACTCTGTGCTAGGCACCAGTCTGGATGCTGAGGAATTACAGCAAACAAAACAGACAAAAGTCTTTCATACGCCTTACAGTCTAGTGGTGAAAGCAGAGGGGAGTGGTGGGGAACACAGTATTTCAGGTGATCAAAAAGTCTATGGACAAAAATTTAGCAGGGAAGGGTGAGGTAGGAAATTTCATTTTAAACGGAGCTGGCATGAAAGGCCCCATGGAGAAGGGGCTATTTTAGAAAAGACCCAAAGGAAGTGAGGGAACCAGCCATGAGGACATCAGAAGGAAGAACATTCTCGGCAGAGGTCCTGAGGCTGAAGCACGGAGCCAGCCTCCAGCCCTCCAAACAACTCTCCCCAAGGCCTCCACTGGGGACCTCAGAAGGGCTTGGGGGCTGGCTCCCAAGGTCACCATCCCCAAGACAAAAACTGTTTCATCAGGAATCCTCAAAGACCCTTCCAAATCCACACCGTGCTCAATGAAAGATGACAGTGAGGAAGGATTAGCAGCAACACCACCATCCTTGAATCAACTCCTTGCCAGACACTGCATTAAACGTTTCAGACAATCTTGGTGGGGCTGCACAGGCACTCTAACATGCAAACTAATCTCAGCTGCATTTTATAAGGGAGAAGCTGAGGCTCAGGGAGGGTAAGTAACTCAGCTGTGATGACTTGGCCAGTAACGAGAGCCAAGATGCAAAGTCAGCTTTGCCTGCTGCGACTCTGAGACGCACCGTACTCACACAGCCAGGACACAGAGCCAGAGGGGCAGACATGGAGTTCAAGTCTGCTTGCAGGGCAGCACCACGCTATCAGGTCACCTCTGGGCAGTTTCCCCTGCCCTGCAGCATGAGAACCAATAAGGACCTTTCCAGGACGGTCCATAGGATGGGATGGGCCAGAAAGAAAAACAAGGTTCTGATGAGCAGGACCCCCTCCCCCAAAGGCCGACAAACACAAGATGAACACACCATGCGGGAGGCACCCACGCCGAGCCTGACAGGCAAAGGACAGCTACCCACACACCCATCATAAGCCATCACCCGGCTTAGGGGAGACTTGTTTTTATCCTGAAAGGTCAATGTTCTACAGCGAAGCACAAAGTGCAGATGTTTCCAGTAAACTAAGAGACAGTGTGGGGGCAGCACTTAGCACTGTGACTGGCACATAGTACTCAAAAATGTTGGCAGACGTGGGGGGTCCTTCCCCTCTGCTCGCCTCTGTCCTCAAGAGCCTTGCCACCCGGCATGGCATGTGTCTGACTGGTGTGGGCATTGCCCATCTGGCTGAGCGTACTTTGTGCATCTTGGTATTCCTGTTGGCAGCACAGGAGGGTGAGCCTTCCTTGAGAGCTGCTTAGAGTTCACAAACAGTGAAACAGAGGGCTGGAGGGGACCTGGAGCCACCTTGCATGACAAGGGCAGCAGTGTCCTGGCTCCTGTCCGCCACTACGCACATGCCCTAAGTGGCACTCATAGCCAACACCACACGAAAGCATGGGCAATTTTTTACTCAATGTCTGCCTTGCCCTCTAGATTAATGGCTGCATGAGGACAGGAAACGAGTCCATCCTGTGTGCCAGGGTATCTTCAGAGTGGCCCAGAGTGGAGCCTCGGCAAACCTCGAATTCAGAGAAGTTGGACTGAAGGGACACAAGGAGCGCTTGACCCTGACCCTGCCACCCGCAAGGCCATGTCTGACATCCCAGAGAGCCTAACCCTGACCCCCTCAACAGATGCATTTAGACACCCATACACTTCTAGAATCGGGGCTGGGCCAGCCACGCTCCCTCAGAGAGGCCAAGATGTAAAACCAAGGGACAAAGCAGGATGCAGGATGTGGGAACTGAAACCCACCCCACGTCCTCCAAAACACACAACACTCAGTTTCTCTTGGTGCAAGGGAGTCAACAGGGAAAAGGGTTCATGGGAAGCAAAAAGGGGGCAGACAGAGCTACGCTCCCCTACTTTAGCCTCAGGGGGCAGAGCCTAGGGAGAAAGAAAGGCCATGGGCAGAGGAAACGCAGAAGAAATATCCTACTGTGGGAAACCCTCTCTGGATATCAGAGGAGCCACCCCCAGAGGGCCCGGACTTCTGGAGGAAAGAAAGACAAAGCGGGAAACAGGGAATTTCCAGGTCCCGCTGACCTCATGCCCAGATGGTCAGCGGCAGTCTCTGGATGACCACTGGGCCGACGGGAACTCTTCTTCTGATCAGTGAGGTTTTCATAACCTCCTTGAGAGAGGACTCATTCTCAGGATGACAAAGCTGGAGGGGAATCTCCAAGGGCAATGAGGTGAATCCCACATTATCAGGTTGGAGAGAGAAATGTGCCCAGAAACACTCAGTGGATGAGGGGCTGCATTAGAACATGACGATGGCATGTGCTCCCGTCTGCTGTCCACAAACCCCAAGTGTGTATGGAAAGGGGAAAAGGAAGTACTGACCACTCCCCTCCACGCGGCAGTATCTAGAGTTCAGAGCCCAGGAGTCCCTGGCCATGAGCTCATCCGATCCTCACTCACGGCACAGGCAGTGCAGCAAGTCAGGGCCCTGAGCAGGGAAGGCCAAGATCACAAAGGAGTCAGGACAGAGCTGGGACCAGATCTCTGCTTTCCTCCAGGCTGCCCACAGTCCATCCTCCAATTCCCTTCCACATCTTCTCGCAGAGTTCCGTATCCACCTGGCCTGGTTCCAGAAACTACAATTCAGCAGGTGATCCACCAGCAGTGGGTCTCCAGGCCCCGCTGCCAAAACCAGAAACAGCTGGTGGTAAAGGAGCAGCCAGTGCAGACTTTCTTCCAAAACAAGATCTCAGCCAGGGGGCCTCCACGGCCTGCCTGGGAGGAGCCCTGGCGCTGCCCGAGGGAACCAGAAAGGCCCAGTTGGGGGCAGAAAGGGGCCCAGACAGACAGCAGGTCAGGGAGCGACAACAGAGCGTGAAGATGGAAGTGATGCTGCTGAAACTGAAGGAGCCACCCACTGGCAGACAAACACTGGTGGTGGCAGGGGGGCGGTAGTCCCCAGGGCCCATATCTCAGCCTCACTCCAGAAGACGACGGGTGATAGAGACTACATTCAGAATTAAATTTACATTCCAGCTTTTGCACTGAAATGCTTTGGTCTGTCAGATTATCTTGCCATTAGCCATGAACACCATTAGCCATGTTTTGATGGCTGGGTAGGGGGGTGGTCCCAGACCCCCCAAAATGATATTCACTTGCATAGCCACTAACATTTGCAAATTGCTTCAGGTGTCCCAAGCACTGTTTTTTCATCTGATTATCACAACAGCCCTGGGAAGAAGGCAGGGCTGGTACCTGCCTGATGGATAAGGAAACTGGTCCAGCTTGGGGAATTAATCAGCCCAATATAATGCCTCGGCTCACTGGCTGCATCCTGGGGCCAGCTATCCCTGCGACCCTGGAGCACATGATACCCTCCCTGGCCCTGTGGAAAAAGTGTAAGCAAATCTCTGGTACGGGGAGGTGGAAGATCATGGAGGCCGACACCTACGTCCTCAGCAGAGGTAAGGGCTACCAGAGATACTGGCAGGTGGGCTGGGAGAAGGGGTATAGGGAAGGGGTCTCCAGGAAAGATGGCACAGAACAGAACGTCAGAGAGGCCTGTCCTAGTCTCTACTCTGCTGTGTATGGGACTATGGGCTCATTCCCACGCATGCAAGGGGAGGAGCATGGGCCACATGGAAACTGGGTGATGGCTAAAGCTGGCCTCAGGATTGAGGACACCGAAGTGTCACGAGATAGCAGGAAGTTGTGGAAAGAGAGGGAGCCAGCACCCTGGCAACATCGCAGCCCTGAAGGCAGGAAGAAAGGTCCGCACAGGGCAGGTGCTCAAGGCCAACTTTGCAAGCATGAGGCCTGAGAGGGTGCCTCACCTGCACTAGCCTCCGCTCCGTCCACCCTGCGGGCTGTGAGACCCTGGACCAGCCATTCACCTTTCCTCAGCCTCAGCTGCCTCATCTGTAAGACAGGAGTAATAACAGAACCTACCTGATATAAGATCAAAGAAATTAAATGGGCCGGGCGCGGTGGCTCAAGCCTGTAATCCCAGCACC